GCAACAGAAGACCTCTAGGAAATCACTTTATTAATGAAAAGTCAACCCAATCTGCAGTCAAGTTTGTTGTCACAAACAAAAATTTGCTCCTATTATAGTTCAGTCTCTTTCAGTCAAATTGAGTGCCACATTGGGCTTCCATATCATAACACTATCTCAAAAAGTGTCAGGCTTCCAGATCCTGCAGAAATGTTCTCAATGAAGCTGTTTCAAATACTAATTTTTACACAGTGACCTCAAGCACAGCACAACTGTTGGAATGGAGCTTAATCAACTTGTTGCTGTGCAAGAGTCAATAAATGTGGAGTGGAAAAGCACAGCAGATCAGACAGCATCCGGGGAGCAGTGAAGTCAATGTTTTAGGTCTCTCTATTGTGCAACTCTGGCTTCTTCAAACTAAAATTGTTGTTTAGAATTCCCTGACATTACAGTAGCTTTGTGTTGATTCAATATCCATGGTCAATAGTGCATTCTCATCAAGGTTAGCTGTTAAAACAATCCCTCAAAGATTGTCAAAGAGAAATATATTATTTAAAGTATATGATTGGAAACGAGAGAGAGTTTACTGGAAACTCAGCTGACCACAGTTCAATATCAATTTGCATTTATACAGTACCTTTTAACACAGTAAAATGCCCAAAGCACTCCACAGAAGCTGAATCAGACAGAAATTATTACTGATATAACGGACGTTTCGGTTGGGCAAATATCAAAATGTTTGGTCAAATTGCTAGGTTTTAAGGAAACATCTTAAAAGTGGAGAGGTTCAAGGAGGGAATACGAAAGCTTAGGATCTTGGCAGCTGAAGTTACAGCACCTAATGGTGGGATGAAGAGACTGAGTTATATGAATGCTGAGATCTTAGAGAGGAGTAAATATGAAGAATATTACAGAAATCTATGCAGGATGTTGAACATGAGGATAAGAGTTTTAGATCTGCGATTGGGACTTGTGGGAATTAGGTTGGGGCAACAGAGCTTTGGGTGAGTTTAGGTTTTGGAAGGTACAAGGTGGGTGTCAACCAGGAAAACATTGGAATAATGCAGTCTAAAGACAGGAAAGGCACAGATGAAGGTGTCAGCAGCAAATGAGTCAGAGATGAATGATCTTAGGAAGGTGGAAGTTGGTGGGCTACAAGATAGAGAGGATATGTAGTATGATGCTCAATTCAGGCTCATATGGTACACCAAGGATGCAAATAATTTGGTTCAGACCGAGATAATGGTCGGAAAAGATGGTGGATTTGGTGATGCGGATATGGGGTTTGGGTGAGAACTGAAGACAATGGCTTCAGTTATTCAATTTTATAATAGAAGGAAGTAGCAACGTATAAGAACATAATACAAACAGATTTGGGATGGATCTTATCTTAAGTTCAGCAGGCAAAGGCTGAATTGTGACATGGATGAATATTCTTCAGTTTCTTCTCATTACTTTTGAGAATACAAAGCACTTCCAGTAGGTGGTGCAGTACATGAGAGTGTGGGTTGAAGGAAGGAATGAACTTAATTACATAATAGCCTTTTTATTTGGCTCTTTGAACTTGCTTTGCCATTCAACCAGATCATGAGGCTACCTTCTCTCTATTCCTTACCCTTCATTCAGCAGCCAAAAAATCTATCAATCTCTGTTGTGAGTATACTCAATGATTCCACATCCACAGATACCTGGGACTCAGGATTCCAAAGATGTTTTACCCTTTGAGAGAAGAAATTTCTCATCTTGGACTCCACAGCCAACAATTATCCAGAGACTGTGATCTAAAGTTCTTAACTCTGCAGCTTGAGAAATCAGCCTCTTAGCATCTGCCTTGATTAGTTCCTGACCAGAGCCTTATAGAGCCTCAGAAATACATCCCAGCTTTTATATTCGTACTCTCAAAATAAATGCCAAAGTTGTATTTGCTTTCCTGACTAATGACTCAACCTGCAAGTTTACCTTGAGAGAATCCTGGACTAGAACTCCCAAGTCTCTTTGCACTTCAGACTTGTGAATTTTCTTCCCATTTAGAAAATAGTCCATGCTTCTATTCTTCTTACCAAAGTGCATGACCTCACACTTTCCCACGTTGTACTCCATCTGCCACTTCTTTGTCCACTCTCCTAACCTGTCCAAATCCTTCTGCAGCCTCCCCACCTCCTCAATACTACCTGTCCTTCTACCTATATTTGTATCGTCTGCAAACTTAGCCAGAATGCCCTCAGTTCCTTCATCTAGATCATTAATGTGTGAAGTGAAAAGCTGTGGTCCCAAAACTGACCCTTGTGGAACACCACTTGTCACTGGCTCCCATCCTGAGAAAGACCCTTTTATTCCCACACTCTGCCTTCTGCCAATCTTCAACCCATGCTAGCACCTTACCTCTAACACCATGGGCCCTTTTACCCAGCAGCCTCCTGTGTGGCACCTTGACAAAGGCCTTCTGGAAGTCCAGGTAGATAACATCTATTGGCTCTACTTGATCTAACCTGCTAATTACCTCCTCAAAAGAATTTTAACAGATTTGTCAGGTATGACCTCCCCTTGAAGCCTTGCTGACTTTGCCCTATTTTACCATGCACTTCCAAGTATTCAGAAATCTCATCCTTCGCAACTGACTCTAAAATCTTACCCACGACTGAGGTTAGGCTAATTGGCCTGTAATTTTCAGTCTTTTTCCTTACTGCCTTTTTAAACAGGGGTGTCACGTCAATGATTTTCCAGTCCTGTGGGACCCTCCCTGACTCTTGCATTCCTGAAATATCACCACTAATGCCTCCACTATGTCTTCAGCGATTTACTTAAGAACTCTGGGGTTTAGTCCATCTGGTCCTGGTGATTTATCCACCTTCAGGCCATTCAGTTTTTTTTAGCGCCTCCTCCTCGATGATGGCCACCATACTCAGCTCTGTCTCAGACTCTCTCAAATTTTTGGCATATTACTCGTGTCTTCCACTGTGAAGCTATCTGTTTATCAATCCTTAATCCAACACTAATATAGTACTTCCTATCTGGTATGATTGCCTTATTAAAATTTTTATGAAAATTTCCAGGTTCTGTTTTATCTACCTGAGTAGTCACATTCTCAAACTCTTTGGTTATTGACTTTTTATATATTAATTCATGGATGTGGGCATTGCTGGCTAAGCCTGAATTTATTCTCCATTCCTAATTGCCTTGGAGAAGATGCTGAGAGTTCTTGGTGCTATCTTGAATCATTTCAAGCCCTTTATTGTGCAGACATTCACAGTATTGTTAGGAAGGGAGTTCCAAGATTTTGACCTAGTGACAGGTCCAAGTCAGGAAGAATACGTGGTGTAGAGGGGAACTTGCAGATGCTGGTGTTCCCATATAACTGCTGCCCTTGTCCTTCTCAAAGGTAGACATGATGTGTCTGAAAGATATTATCAAAGGAAACTTGATGTGTTACTGCACTGCATCTTGTAGGTGCTGCTATGTGTTGGTGGTGAAGGGAGTGAATAGTGAAGATAGTTGATAGAGTGTCAATCAAGCCTATCCTGATGGTATCAAGCTTCTTGAATATTGTTGGCGCACCCATGCAGGCAAGATTTGGACAAGATGGCCAGTCCAGAGAGTACGATTTGATGAGAATATAGCTTATTTTGAAGCTGCAAAATGGTGCAGACTAGGATTCACTTCACAAGCTGTTGAATTCAGGTAGTTGAGAGTGAGCTCCCAGGCCTAGCCACATCTGACACCCTGCCAGCCTGGAAGAACCAGAAGGAATGTCATGACCTTGCAGACAGCCAAGAGAAGCAGCACCATTATATTTGAACAGATCCTGGAGGTGGCGATGGCCAGCAAGAAGGGGTCCCATGGCCCCGAATAGAGATGCTATCAGGTACAGGCCACAACACAGTCAGAAATAAGTGACAGCTCGAGCAGCATGTCTGGAGCTTTATGAGTACTGTCAGGATTCTGTGGTGCTGAGCCACGTGCTCCACTAACAGAGTGTCATGGAGGGGAAAGGATCTCCAGGAGAATAAGGAAGTGGGAAGCAGAATTGGTGGTGAGCAGAAAGCACTGCATGCAGAAAGTTACATTTTAAAAAGCAAGCTAAAAATGTATTTTAACAGTTATTTCATTCACTAATGTAGAAATCTAGCTATGTAAACTTTTTAAACTCATACTGTATCATGTCTTTTCGCCACAAATGCAGGCATTATAGAACCTAATTCTAGCTTTAATGAGCAGCAGTGACCTCGTGGTATTGTCACTGGACTGGTAATCCAGAGACCCAGGCTAATGCTCTGGGACATGAGTAGGAATCCCACTATGGCAAATTTCAATCAGTGAAAATCTGGTATCAAAAGCTAACCTTATGGCAACCATTGTCGACTGCTGTAAAAACCCATCCGATTCATTAATGCCCTTTAGGGAAGGAAATGTTACCTGATCTGACCTACATATGACTTCAGACAGCAGTATGGTTGATTCTTAACTGCCCTCTGAAGTGACGCTCAGAAGCCAATCAGTTCAAGTGGCAATTAGGCTTGGGCAATTAATTGCCACATTCCAACAAATGAAGAAAAAAAAATTAAATGAATCCTATACAGATCACTGTTTCACTAAGTTGTGACTTCCAGAAATACAACCCACTCCTGTCAAGCATGGAAACAGCTGAAGCTTACTTAATAATTCATCAGTCCTCCAGTCCAGCCTGTGATTTTCTGCTAGTGATTTCTCAGCATCTGACATTGAGACGAATCATCTGGAATTTTCAGACATTGCGCTGCTACTTGCTCCATTTCGCTCTGCGACCTGTCCCATGGAAACGGGTGCAACCATGAAACAGTTTCAACGTGATGAGGGGATTGGGAGCTGAGGATGTGTTTATGTGGGTCTGCCTGTAAGGGTGCTCGCAATCGTGCAACCATCAGATTCCCATGGCCTGGCCTCACACGTGAAGTTACTTATTCAACATGACAATCCAAAGCAGCTGACAGCTTCAGAAGGCGAGGGAAGAAATTTATGGTGGGGAAGTTAAATAAATTGCATACCTCCACATCAAATTTGGTCATGTCAGCCTTCCACTTGAAGAAATCCTGCACTGCGCCGCCGAATTCTCTGGCTGCCTCCATTGAGGTGAAGTTGTGTTTCTCCCCACTTCTGTTGCAGGTGACTCGAAAGCGACGTAGTCCTTTCCCTTCATCCTCACCTGCTGCTGGATGGCTGTCATTCTCAGATAGAAGCCCCTCAGGTGAAATCTTTGCTTGGTCACTGAGCAGCACCCGATCAGCGACTGCATTGCTGGACTCCTCCATTTCATCAGGCTGGTCACCACTTGCCCCAGAATGGATAATGGGCAATCCTGTCCCGGGATGTGCTGGATCTCCAGTCGACGATTGGTCAGAGGAAGCAGGCTCCAATTGGCCATCTTTAATTTTATCAGTCTCTTGTGATGCTTCTGGATGTAGGCCACATCCTCGGCTGCTTTTCCTGCGCTGGCCCTTCCTTTTCTTCAGACTGTTGTTCAATTCCCAAACTTTAAGGGGACAGGTCCAAAGAAGCTGGCGAGCCAACAGTCTGAAGTCCTCGAGTACACTTTCCTGTTAAAGAAAATGGTACATTTAAAAATGGGAACAAAATCCAGGCAGAAATTCTACCGCAGTATTGAAAGGAAGCTGCACATCAGAAGTGACATGTCTTGAAAGAAACATTAGAGCTCCACCTAGTTTCTTAGTTGGACACGATGTTGACCAAGAGCAGGGAGGTGCTAATTAAATGCAAACTAGTGGAATGTAGCCTATCAAGAGAGGACTGGAATAGTACAAATTTTGGTCGAGCTGTGTGTAGTTCTGGTGAGACCCACCTGGAACACTTCATTTAATTCTGGGCACTGTACAGCAAGAAGGATATACTTGGAACGGATGCAACATAGATCCATCAGAATGATCGATGAAAGTGTTACATTCTGACAAAAGGTTATAAGGACCAGGCTTATATTCCTGTGAATTGATTATGGTGCAACTAATTAATATGCTAAAAGATTAATCAAGCAAATAGAAAGAAATTATTTCTTCTGGTCAGAGTGTCCAGGTCAAGCTAGATAACATCCAGGATGAACCAGCATACTTCACTGGCACCAGATCAACAAACATTCGCTTCCTCTATTTACTATTCTAAGCAGCAGTTAATAGCAGCATCCACAAGATACACTGCAGAAATTCACCAAAGGTCCTTTGACAACACCTTCTGTATTCATGACCACGTCCACCTAAAAAGACAAGGACAGCAGGTACATGGGAACACCACCACTTGCAAGTTGCCTTCCAAATCAGTCACCATCCTGACTGGGAAACATATTGTCGTTCATTCAGTGTCACTGGTTCAAAATCCTGGAACTCTTTCCCAAATGGCATTGTGGGTTTTACCCACATCGAACGGTTTGCAGCAGTTCTAAAACGATACCTTCTCAACTGCAGTGCAGGATAGGCAATAAATGTTCCTGTGGCCCTGCAAATTACACATGATTTGGAATTCTTACAACCGAACACTAAGGATGGACTTTTTGTGATAGGGTCGGTCTCAACTTGATGCCCTCCGTAAGTCCACAGATGAGGAATGGCAACTGGGTGAAATACAGAGAGCAGGTCAGTGTGCCAGCAAGTGCCAGAACCTTTGGGAGAGGAGTTGTAATGAGCAAGGAAAGACAACACACTAGGTCATCCAGAAAACGCACCAAGGCAGACCAGCTGTGTCATAAAAATATGTACAGTTCCAAAAATCAGAGCTTATTATTAGAGATAGTAGGAACTGCCAATGCTGGAGAATCTGAGATAACAAGATGTAGAGCTGGAATGACACAGCAGGCCAAGCAGCATCAGAGGAGCAGGAAAGCTGACTTTTCGGGTCTGGACACTTCTTCAGAAAATCTTCTGAAAATTTTCTGAAGAAGGGTCCAGACCCAAAACGTCAGCTTTCCTGCTCCGTTCATCCAGCTCTACACCTTGTTATATCAGAGCTTATTATTAGCCTGGTTATTAAACAACTAGATGGGGTTTGAACCTTAAGCTGGAAGGAGACAGAAAATACTACCACTTAGATTGGAGACTAGATGAATAAAATGATGAAAGCTGAAAGAGGAAATTATCAGTGTCAAAGGTCCAAATTAGATGGTGCATTTCTTAAAGGGATACTGACAAGTTTGAATTTTTGCATTTTCTAAATTTCTTGAATGCAAGCATTTTTACATTTCTCAATCAGTAGACTATCGATTCACCAAATCTTACCATAACAATCAAACCTTCTAATATTCATTCCACTCCTGTCTTAGCTTAGAGTTACTCAATGCCTCAGAGACACTGCTTTTCCTCATCCACCTCTCCATCCTTTCCTGCTTTTCCTATTTCCAATTATTCTGGTCCTCCTTTGCCTTTTTCCTTCTCACTGAATTCAACCTGCAGTCATTACCATCTCCAATTCAAATGAAGCTGACACATCCTGCATCTTTTCATTCAAGCTGCTGCCCTTCAATTTCTGGTTGAAGCTGCCCCTATCCTTCCTAACTGAATCTCTCTCTCTTCTCCCTTGTCAACCTCCACAACTCAAGCTGACACTCTTTCCCTTACCCCTTCATGTAATACTAATCATCTTCGTAACTTCTACCCGAGGAATCTTATTTTCATTTCTCTTCCTCCTCCTCTTTCTCCCCTCGTTACCATTGACTGTTCATGTCATTGCCCTCTCCCCCATACTGTGCCCTTATTGTCATTTGTTTCCCTCCCAATCATATACCTACCAGAATCAAGCTTATATGGGGCTGCAGGGACCTTACTGGCTACTAGTGGGGCAGAAATAGAGCGGGGGGTGGGTGCCTCACCAACAGCTACCAGGGCACAGTTGGCGGGGGGGGGGGGGTGTTCACCAACTGCAAGTGTGGCACAGTGGTCATGTCACCTAGTTGGAGAGATCCATGTCACTGCATGATTCAGGAAGGAATGCCTCTTCTTGTGATACTTGCTGGCCTACATTATAAAATGGTTTAGATCACTGTCACGAGTGGTGCTCAGCAGAGATGGGGCCCATTGTGGTTCTAGGTAGAAGTGGGGACAGCAACAGGTAAGTGGACACAGGGCCAGGTTCATGATAGTAGCAAATTCGTTAGATGGTAATGACAGGATCAAACAGTGATGTCTAGCACTTAGATTAGTTTTTCTTTAATTTAAAAAGTCCTTTAATCCACATTCATATTTAGTTTATTCCCAATTACACACCTACCTTGGTTTCACCAAACTGGTAATGGGGAAACTCCTGGATAACAACAAACAGATTATCAACAGATCTCAAAAGATGAATCTGAAATAGAGAAAAACATGTATATGAAATTTCCCTGAATCTGTAGTTATGTGAATATAATTTTAGTGGTCTTATTGATGGCTTATTTAGTAAGAATTATCCAATGCACTCTGAGGCAAAGTTATATTTAACTTTTATTATCCTGTTGATTTCCACATTCCCCCACATCCAACGATACAGTTTTTGAAGAGTAGTCACTGTTGTATTGTAGGAAATGCACCATGCAATGTGTGCACAGCATGATTCCATAAACAGTAATGGGATAAATGATTAAGGGATAAATATTTTTTAAAAACCAGGAGAATTTCTCCCATCCTCCCACCACTCCCCTGCTCTTCAAATAGCACCACTGGAGAGGACAGTTATCCCACAAAGATGGCACCTCCAACAGTGCAGCATTCTCTCAGTATGGCACTGAAGGGTCAACTTAGATTATATGTTCAACCTCTTGACAACGTGAATTTGAGGCCCATTGTGTTGATTCATGCCTGTAAAGACCACAGTTTGACCTCATCCCCCAACCAGGCTGTACTGAGACATCGAAGCTGTGGAGTCAGCTCGGACATTGGAATTGGATTTAGCACTCACTCATGTCAAGATGGGGTGCCAGCAAGGGGGACAAAGAATATATACAGAACAATGTAGACCAACCTGAAAAAGATTATCTGTGGACACCTCAAAATAGATCTTTCCTCGATCCTTACTGATCCTGGACTCAGATCCAATCTTTTCCAAGACTTCCTCAGCAGCAGTGCTCTCAAAGCCGGTTGGAACTGTTGCTCCAATGGTGACCCAATTCTCCCGTGAGCTATCATGTTGCTTCATTCCCAGGTCTCCATTTCCAACAGGATCTTGTTCCACTTCAGTCATGACTTCTGCTGCAATCGGTCCATCTGCATCTCCATTGAGTACAGGCATCTCTTTGAGATTTAAAACCAGAGGATATTCATTTACAGAGTAATTTTCACAATCTCACGTTGAACCTAAGTGCTTTACAGCCATTAATTAACCTTATGCTGTGATGTCCACTGTTGCTATGTAGAAAACAGAGTAACAAATTTATGCAAAAGAGATCCCCCACAAAGTGTAATAGTGAGATAATCTGTTAGAGTGGTGTTAGTTGCAGGATAACACCCAAGATGGTTCTTAAAATAGTGTTATGGGATATTCAGTATCCACCAGACAGCTTTGTCTCAAAAACAAGTGCCCCCAACAGAGCAGCATTCTCTCAGGACTGGAATATTAGGCTTAATGTCAACCTCTGAGAGTGGGGATAGTGATACAGGTGACAGCTCGGCTCTGAAGGAACAGTTACCATCAATCAGAAAAGTATCACCTGCTGAAAGAGACACTGTACTTGGAAGTCTAGTTAGATATAGTTGGTCAAACGTTCCAGTGATAAATCAGCGACTCCCTCCCACCTCCCAGGTGACTGTCTTTGTGCCTCTGGTAGCCAATGATCAAAACTGTTGATGGGAATTTTCACTCGGAAACCGACAAAATTAGAAAACAGGGAAATAATCCAAATATCTTTGGAGACAAAAATCAGCACAGATGGTCACCAGTGACTGGGACACAGGACACCCATCTCCACTAGAACAGGGATGGTAGCCCCCTTGCTTACACCAATTTTCCACCAAACCCACCATCTCTCCCCCTCCCTCACATCACTCTCCTCCTCGTCATTCTTCCCCCTCCCCAATCCCTCCATTACTCATCATCCCTCTCCCCCTCCCCGCTCATCACTTTCCCCCCTTCATTATCCCCTCTCCTCATCACCTATTCCCCTCCATAATTTCCCCCCTCCCTTCTCCCTATCACCTATTCCCCTCCATAATTTTACCCCCTCCCATCTCCCATCACCTGTCCCCTCCTCCCAATCACCTATCCCCCTCCATTATTTTCTCCCTCCCCCATCACCCATCCCCTCCTTCCCATCACCTATTCCCCTCCATAATTTCTCCATCACTTAATCCCCTCCATAATTCCCCCCTCCCCCCATCACTTATTCCCCTCCATAATTTCCCCCCTCCCTATCCCACTTACCTATTGCCCCTCCATTATTTTATGCCCTATCCTTCTCTCACCCTCTCTCTATCTGGGAGTCTGTCTTACTTCCGCCGGAAACAACGTCACGAAAACTCGCGCGGTAAGCAACTGCGCCTGCGCACTGCTCCCCACCACCGGGAGGAGCGTGAGGTGGGGTGTGTGGTCACTCACTGTCCCCGGGAGTCGGTTGGGAGGGGAGGGGGATACGCGGCACTCGCTGACACCGGGGGTGAGGGGATCATTCACTGTCCACGGGGGGGGATGGGTTTGCAGGTCGCTGACTGTCCTGAGTGGGGGGCTTTGGGGGCTACTCTGTCCCGGTGTGGGGTATGTGAGGGCATGGGGGGTGGTGGTTGGAGTTGGAGGTCACATGTTCACTAGGTGGGCACGATCAACTGTGATGCCCACACAGTTGAACAGCACGCACTGGCCTTGCTTTTACAAGTAAAAGGTGGATAATTGGTTGAGGTACCAGAGGGTGTTTTTTTTATGGGAAAGAACCCTGGGGCCAAGCTCATGTAGGACTATAGCAAGAAAAGATCGTGGGCAAGTGGGGAGGTGCCAAGTTGCTTTCACTGCCTGGTACATTAAAATATTGAGAAACAGAAATTGGCTGGTAGCTGATCTCAATTTCAATCTCCTTTAACAACTCTAAACATGAAGTGTTATTCCTGGAAGACAGAGGTCAGGTTTTTTTTAACAGTGCAAGACTTCATAAAGTGGTCAATCATTTCAATTCAGGTCAGTAGAAAATATAAACTGATGAAATCTATTTCAATTCCAACCTGTCTGTTTGTCCATTGAATATCTCATGATCATTGTGATTCATACTGATGCTGCAGTTGAGTCTGGCTGCCTGTAAGATCCCATTTGAATTCTCCCCAAGTGCTTGTTGTCCACAGCTTCTTGTTGCTTCTTTCTCCTTGGTCTCTTAACAAACCACATTTCAATTCTGAGTGGTCTCAAATCTGTTCTGCCCTCACTCTCAAAAGCCTAGAGGAAAGCAGCAGTTCCAGAGAATTATTTATCATTTACCACAAAGGAACAGGAAGCTAACAGGACTGTGCTGGCATTTAATCTCCATGTGAGTCTCCTGTCAACCTACCTCACTTCTGTCTGTCAGCATGCAATTTTATTCCTCTCCCCGTCATGTATTAATACTATATTAATATCCTTTTGCTATCTAAATTTAACACAATGACCCAAGTTGATTCTGTTTACTTGAAGATGTCTGATGACTTTATTTATGGCTAAACCAATTCAGAGGATGATCGCATGATGTCATCCAGATACAGGCTCATATATGTGTTGAGTTTCTTAAAGAAATATCTCTCAAAGTGATAACACCTCATATGTAGCTTCTCCCTAAATACAATTCATGTCAACCACTATGTGCTAGTGAGTTCTTCAATTTCATTGCTGTCTGCAAAGAAGCTTCTCATGGTGAATTTCTTATTGAATTTAATAGTGGCAATCTTACAGTTATGCCCCCAGATTTGGACAGCCCTGAAGTGGAAACATCTCTGTGTCTGCTCTTTCAAATTGTTTCATAATTTTCATGACTTCTTTAGGCCACGTTTCAACCTATTTAGTATTTGCTGATAGTTTCCCTCATCTCTGTTCAGGTATTGATACAAGCTGTGACCCAGAATTCTTACTAACTGTTCGTCTATGTTTATTGTTATGTTGTTCATGATATTAAGACAATGGAGCAGGAGGCTTCAAACTATACAGGAGCTAATTTCTCACTGTGAAAGCAGTCCAAAATCTTCCAGTTGTTTTCAAGATTGTCATTTAATCTCTGTATGCATTCCCAAGAAGAGTTAATGTGGAGAATGGTAATATCAAATTGGTACACTCCTAAGGATGGATTTGGACATAAATGGGTGTAGAGGTAGCTTTGCTTAAACACTGTACCACCTGTTTCCTTAAGTGAATGTAAAAGCTTCCATGGCAGTATTTCCGGGAAGAGTAGATGAGTTCACCGTAGTGTCCTGGCCAATATTTGTCTGTTTATCCTTTAACCGATTATCTCTTCATTATCACATTGTGCCTTGTGGGATCTTCCTGTGAGCAAATTGGCTGCCACATTTCTGACATTTACAACAATGACTACGTCTCAAAAGTATTGCTTTCACAGGAAGACTCAAGACAGTATACCTCATTGGCATGGATGAGTTGGACTGAAGGGTCTGTTTCCATGGTGTACATGTCTATGTCTCTATGATTCTATGTCTGGCAGTTGCAAAACATGAAAAGTGCTATAATACAGCAATTATTTTCATTTTGAGTATTTGATGCTCACACTGACAGCAAACAATTGAAAATAAAAATGCTTCACTATAGTACAAGATAGCTGTAGCTGCAAAGGACCTAGTGCTACACCCCTCTTTGACCATGCAGTTGTTCACAAAAGCTAATGCCTCCTTTTTTTTTTTGCTTAGTTCAGTCTCAGTTTATGTCTGATTTATACTCCTGTGAATGGTTTGGATGCTTTGCTACATGAAGGATGTCATATAAATGCAGGTTTTTTGTTTATTCTCAGTGTATGAGTTGGAGGCAACTGGAGTTCCTGCCGACACTAACAGCGTGACCACCCTCAGCAGAATGTACTCCAAAATATTTTTGAGTGATACTTACATAATGATATATTTCTACGATTTATCCCATGTGTCTCTCTGTGGACACTCAAACCATGAGGAGATGTTGCCTTGAAAATTGTAAGCATTGCAGAGACATCAATACAATGTTGATATTTTAGCAATACCTAACTGAAGCTGGACATAGGATGGGTATCTTGAGGAGCTGTCAATCATTCTGACATTCATCCAGAAATGATAACAACATCACACCAAGGAAAGGATGGAGTCGTTTGAATTGTTTTAAAAGTCCATTCATCATCCGTGGCTCAGGAAAGGATTTCTGACCAAATTGTTTCACCAACATGGCCAATATAAGAATGGCTTCCATTCAGATAACTGCCCAATTTATATTGGAGCCTTTAAGTAATGTGGCCACTATTGACAACTGCATCATGGGAGCTTCTGTGATTATGAGCATTGATTGGAAATTTTATGTCCCCCAAATGCTACCTGCATCACAGCTTGCTTGTATCAATCTTCACCTATATCCTCCTACTGCCTCTAAGCCTTAGCTGCTTCTATATCAACCCCTGGGAATTAAAAAGTCAGTTCACTTACAACAATATTTTCAAAATCCCAATTCCTTTGCCTTTGGTTATCCATTTTCTACATCATTTCTGCAACTGTTAATTTGCTCAACCGCAATCTTGTTTCTACCTTTGTTCCCTCATCCTCAATAAAACAATTACCCTCTCTCACCTTGGGCTTTCCCACTATTACAGCCTTCAACTCTGCTCCAAGAAGTCCAAGGAAGGTAGATGCGAAAGGATATTGTGGACAACTTGTTTATCAATCTATTGCTAGATCTGGCAGGAGCACGTAGAACACAGGCCCTGAACATGTAGGTAGCCTGTGATTTATTCTCTCTCTTTCATACTGTCTTTAACCCCTGTCCCTTACCTTAAATGAAAAAATAGGGAAGGTGATAGTGTAGTGATAAAGTCACTGGACTAGTGATCCAGAATCCTAGTCTAATGCTCCAACGGCACGGGTTCAAATACCATCATGAATTGAATAAATCGGATTTGATTTGATTTATTGTTGTCATACGTACCTAGGTGCAGTGAAAAGTTTTGGTTTGCATGCAGCACAAGTAGATTAAACCATACAAATTGAAGCTTGTCTCAGTAACTGTGATCATGAAACTATCAACAATTTCTTAAAAAAAACAAATCTGATTCACTTCTGTCCCTTTGGGAGAGGAAATCAGCTGTCCTCACCCAGTTTTTACATGACGCCAGACCCACAGCAACATAGGGACTCTTCACTGCCCTCTGAAAGGGCCGAGCATGTACTCTATTCAAGGACAACCGGAATGAATCCTGACCTTGCCAGCGATGCCCATGTCCTACACAAGAGGAAAAGAAAAAGTTTGAGACTTCTTGTCACTAACATAGAGACAGCCTAATCCTTTCCCCCATCGTGTCTGTCCCTTCTTCTAGCCCACCATACCAAATTTCTTCTGATGTTTTCCGTCGTAATCTTACTTCTCTTTTGTTCTCTCCCAACATCCCTGATGTTGCTTCCAGTTTCAGCTTGCCCATGAGATGCAATTCACACTAAATTGCTCACTGCCTAATGTTACTTCCTCATCACCATATTGACTGATATTGTTAACGGTTCTGTCCATCTCTTCACATGTTGTTCCTTTTTAAATCAGCCATCAACACCCATCTCCTTAAGGATGGTGTGTCAAGGGTTGATTTATTGCAAACCACTGCCCCCCTTTAAAGTAACTGAATACCTTGTCACCACCCATATCCATTGCCCATTTCTCCCAGAACTCCATGTTTGAATCCCTCCAATCAGGGATCAAATCCACAGCATTGGAACAACTCTAATCAAAGCTACAAACTACATCCTCTGTTACTGTGACAAAGTTAAACTATCCCTCCTCATCCTGTCTCTAGCCTTTGATATAGTTGACCACACCATCCTCCTCCAAAAGATTGGACATCCAGCTATGTGAGACTGCATATGAGCCCTAAGCTCTAGAATGTGCTTCTTAACCCTATGTGACTCTCCTCCTTATTTGCCTCCATTATTATGTTCCTTAAAGCATATTAGCTATCCCTAATCTAAGTGATCCAACAACCAATGGATCAGATCTAATGTCTGAAGTCCTGCCACATCCAGTCGTGAATGCTAGTGGACAATTAAACAACTCACTGCAGGAGGCGGCTCCACAAATATTCCCATCCTTGATGACAAAAGAGCCCAGCACATCAGTGCAAAAAATAAGGCTGAAGAATTTGTAACAATCTTCAGCCTGAAGTAACAACCAGATGATCCATCTCTGCCTCCTCCAGAGGTCCTCAGCATCACAGATACCAGTCTTCAGCCAATTTGATTCACTCCACATATATCAAGAAAGATATGAGGCATCGGATGCTGCAAAGGCTACAGGCCCTGACAACACTCCAGCAATCGTACTGAAAACTTGTGCTCCAGAACTTGCTGCTCCCCTGGCCAAACTCTTCCAGTACAGCTACAACACTGGTATCCATGCAACAATGTGGAAAGTTGCCCAGATATGTCCTGTACACAAAAAAAAGGACAAATCCAACTCAGCCAATTACAACCCTATCTGTCTACTCTCGATCAACACCAAAGTGATGGAATGTGTCATCAACAGTGCTGTCAAGCAACCCCTGCTCAGTGACAACCTGCTCACTGATGTCCAGTTTGGGTTCTGCCAGGGCCAATCAGCCCCTGACCTCATTACAGCCATGTTCAAACATGGATAAAAGAACTGAATTCCAGAGGTGAGGTGAGAATAACAGCCTTTGATATCAAGGCTGCATTTGATCGAGTGTGGCATCAAGGAGCTGAAATAACTCTACAGAGGCTGTTATCCAAGTCACCCTTTATTTATACGTGGAGAGTCCTTGATACTGATCCAGCTCTGAGCTAATAGAATGTCTGATACTCCTGTACTTATCTGTTAGCCAGAGCTCCCTAATTGGACCAGGTTAACAACCCCAGTTAGGGAACTCATATTCTATGAGGTCCATTTGGCTGACCTCATTACAATCACTACAGGAGCCCTAGCAAAACTCGAATCAATGGGTAACAGGGGGCAAACTGGTTGGAGACATACCTGGCACATAGGAAGATGCTTGTGGTTGTTGGAAGTCCGTCACCTCAGCTCCAGGACATTGCTGCAGGAGTTCCTCACAGTAGTGTCCTAGGTCCAATCATCTTTAGCTGCTTCATCAATGACCTTGTGCTGCAAGGATTGGTGCTGGGACCACTGTTATTTGTCATTTATATGAACAATTTGAATGAGAATGGGGCGTGGTTACTAAGTTTGAGGATGACGCCAGAATTGGTGGTATAATGGACAGTGAAGAAGGTTATCTAAGAGTACAATGAGATCTTGATCAGCTGGCCCATTGGGCCAATGAGTGGCAGATGGAGTTTAATTTAGATAAATATGAGGTGTTGTATTGTGGTTAGATAAACTAGGGCAGGATTTACACAGTTAATGGTTCGGCCCCAGGAAATGTTGTCGAACAGAGATACCTAGGGGTGCGGGTACATAGTTCCTTGAAAGCAGCGTCATAGGTAGACAGTGTGGTAAAGAAGGCGTTTGGCATGCTTGCCTTTATTGATCAGAGCATTGAGTACGGGAATTGGGATATCATGTTACAGCTGTACAAGACATTGGTAAGGCCACATTTTAAGTACTGTGTACAATTCTGGTCACCTTGCTATAGGAAGAATGTTACTAAACTGGAAAGACTGCAAAAGAGATTTACAAGGATGTTAAGGAGACTGGAAGGTTTGATGTATAAGGAAAGGGTGGACATGCTGGGACTTTATTCAATAGAGCATAGGAGGCTGAGAGGTGATCTTATGGAATCATAGAGTCCCTACAGTGTGGAAGCAGGCCATTCGGCCCATCAAGTCTACACCAATCCTACAAAGAGCATCCCACCCAAACCCACCGCCCCACCCCCCAACCTATCCCTGTAACGCTGCATTTCCCATGGCCAATCCACCTGACCTGTACATCTTTGGACTGTGGGAGGAAACCCACACAGACACAGGGAGAATATGCAAACTTCACAGACAGTTGCCTGACGGTGGAATCGAACCTGGGTCCCTGGCACTGTGAGGCAGCAGTGCTAACCACTGAGCCACCATGCCACCCAAAAGGTTTATAAAATCCTGAGGAGTATAAATAAATATAAAGTGATTAGCCAAGGGTGGCAGAGTCCAAAATTAGAGGTTTAAAATGAGACGGGAAAGATTTAAAAGGTTTCCCGTGGGATAACTTTTACACAGAAGGTGGTTTGTATGTGGAATGAACTGCCAGAGGAAGTGTTAAATGCAGGTACAGTTACAACATTTAAAAGAGCTTTGGACAGGTACATGAATCGGAAATGTTTAGAGGGAAATGGGCCAACCCCAGGCAAGTGGGACTAGTTTAGGTTTGGAAGTTCGCTTAGCATGGACAGGTTGGACTGTTTGCATGCTGTATGACTCTATGACAAAGCGGCCCACTTGATTGGCACCACATCCACAAAGATCAACTCCCTCCACCACCGACCTCATTAGCAGCAGTGTGTACCATCTACAAGATGCACTGCAAAAATTCACCCAAGATCCTTAGACAGCACCTTCTAAACCCACTACAAGGGCAGAATACATAGGAACACCTCAATCTACAAGTTCCCTCCAAGCCACTCACCATCCTGATTAGAAAATATATTGCTGTTCCTTCAAGGAGGGTAGAATCAAACTCCTAGAATGTTATCCTAATATCATTGTGGGTGTACCTACAGCAAACGACCCAGAACTGTTCACAGTCTTCCAGTGGTTGCTTTGTCATGGCCCAGAGGATACTGGGCATGATGATCAATAACAAAGGAAAAATAATAATGTGGATGGGAAGTTTCCGCCTCTTTGGTCTAACTGAATCTGGAGTTGAATAAACAATAAGAAATTTCTTGCATTGCTGTAAATGATATACAGGTTACAGGAGTGTTGCTATTGGATCTGCGACTAAAAGCTTCCAATGTCTCATCACCACTTGTCTCTGACCGATTCTGTCAGTGTGACTTCATCACATTGGATGGTGCTACTCACACTCAGACCCATAGAGAACAGATGAGGTGGGAGAATGTACACAGTCTCCAGCAGCAAATATACTAAAATTGGAATGATACAGAGATGATTAGCATGGCCCCTGCACAAGGATGACAAACCTATGTCAGGAGTACTGTGTACAGATTTTATCTCCTTATTTAAGAAAGGATATAAATGTGCTAAGTTTCCTGTGGTGCCGAAGTAGTGTCCGTACCTCTTGGCCAGGAGGCTTGGGTTCAAGTTCCACCTTCTCTAGAGGTGTGTCATAATACCTCTGAACAGGTTGATTAGAAAATGTAAAATGTAAATGTGTGAGGAGCAGTTTGTAGAAGGTTCAGTGCTACTTTGCCTGACCTGGAGTGCTGTTTTTACAGTGTAACTGGAGTTTAGTGAAACAGGGAGTTAGATGAAAGAGGGGGGAGGTGATCAGTCCCTCCTTTTCTCTCATCAGTCAGTACTTTCTGCTCTTTAATGTAAAAGTAAGATATTAGAAATAAATTTGGAGCATAAAGGGGAAAGTGTGTCCTTAAGAAACTCTTACAGCACCGACTGTCAGAGGTTAGAGAGAGGGAGTGAATCTGGCAAGGAGCAGCAGGAAAACTTTCAAAGGAGCTGCACGCTGTTATCTTCACTCCGTCCAGGCACTGAGCTCCTGAGGTGATGTCAGGAGTGACACTGGGCAAGTGGAATCTGCTGATTGGGTGAGTACAGACAGAGAGTATTTATATTAATATAATTGCTTACAATTTGTAAAGGTTTTATTTTGTCATTTAAAGTTCATACAGGCTATAATTTATTTTGACAAGGTCAGCGGAAGAAGGGCCCTAAATAATTGATATTATTTGATTTTACGAGAGGTTTAATTCACAAAGGTAAGTCATGGCCACCAGGCAGAGTAAGGACTAGGCAGCAGTGCACGAACACCCAATGGCCATTCCCCTGTGAAACAGATTTAGCACTTTGGATACTGTTGGTGGGAAATGGCTTTTCGGGAAAAACCAATAACAGCTGAATTCGTTGCCTCATGGTTGGTTCTGCTGTACAGGAGAGGATGAGAAAGTGTGGGAATGCAATGGTCACATTCAATTGTAGAGGGACTAGATAGGTGTTTCTATGGCCGCAAACAAGACTGCACATTGGTACGTTGCCTTCCTGGTGCTAGGGTCAAGCATGGTTACAGGACATTCTGGAGTGGAAGGGAGAACAGCCAGTGAGTCGCGATACACATTGGTATCAATGACTTTGGTAAAAAAAAAAAAGGGAATTATATCCTAAAAGCAACTTGTAGGGAGTTAGGAAGTAAGTTGAAAATTAGGAACTCAAAAGCAGTGATGTCAGAATTACTACCAGTGCCATGTGTGAGTCAGAGTGGAAATAGCAGGATATATCGGATGAAGATGTGGCTGGAGAGCTAGTGCGAGGAGACGGTCTCAGGTTCCTGGGACATTGGGACCAATACAAACTGGACGGGTTATAGCTGGGTGGGACCAGAACTGATATTGTAGGGGGAAATATTTGCTGATGTGGTTGGTCTGGATTTAAATTAGAATGGCAGGCAACAAGGAAAAAAGAAAGGGCAGCAATAAAATAAAGTACAGTAAAATACAAAAATGGTAGACAAGGTAATCAAGGGCAAAAGGCAAATACGAAAAGTTAGGATGGTTAAAAATGGCAAAAAGGCAAGCGTAAAGGCTTTGTATCTTAATGCACAAAGCGTTCAGGATAGGATAGACAAATTAACAACACAAATGGAGTTATAGCCATTACAGAAACATGGTTACAAGGAGATCAAAACTGGGAGTTTAACATTCAGGGATATTTGATCTTTCAGAGAGACAGATGTGATGGAAAAGGTGGTGGGGTAGTACTGTTGATAAGAAATGAAATGAGGACAGTTGAGAGGTTTGGATGATGTAGGCTCCATTTTGGTGGAGGTAAAAAAGAATAGCAAGCGAAAGAAGACTTTGGTGGGAGTAATGTATAGACCCCCAAGCAGTAACCACACTAGGAAAGGGTATTAATTATTGGAGCATGTAAAAAGAATAGAGCAATAATTATGGGTCACTTTAATCTTCATGTTGATTGGGTTAATCACATTGGAAAGGACAACTACTCATTCATATAGTGCATTCGGGAAAAAAGTTTTCTAAAGCAATATATCATGGAGCCAAACAGGGAGTAGGCTATCTTGCACCTGGTAATGAGTAATGAGGCAAGTTTAATAAATTACTTCAGAGTAAAAGATCCTGTGAGAAGTAGCGATCATAACATGATAGAATTTAATATTTAGTTTGGAGTGAGAAACTTGGGAAACAACTGTTTTTAACTTAAATAAAGGGAATTACAATGAAATGAGAATAGAGTTAGCTAAAGTTAACTGGGCAGATATATAAACAGGAATGACAGTAAGCAAATAGTTGCAGACATTCAAGGAGAGATAAACCAACAATGGCTAACCAAGAAATTTAACGAGAGTATAAAGTTGAAAGGAAAAGCATATAAGGAGGTCAAAGTCAGAGGTAGCTAGTTAGTGACTGGAATAAATCCAGAATCCAGCAAAGGAGGACTAAAAAGATAATAAAGAGAAGAAAATAAACTTAAGGCAAACTAGTGAGGAGTTTAAAATCTGATAAATAGAGTTTCTTTAAATATATAAGAAGGGAAGAGAGAGGTCAAAGTGACTGACTAATTTATTAGAATTTTATGAGCAAGTCAGAACCAGAGTAGATAGAGGGGAACCAGGAGATGTGTTGTATTTAGACTTCTAGAAGGCATTGGACAAGGGTTTGACAGGGTAATTGTTGACAGGATGCTTCCCTCATGAGCAAGTCTAGCACCAGATGGTATAGTCTCAGAATAAGGGGGCACCAATTTCAGACTGAGATGAGGAGGAATTTCTTCTGTCAGAGGATTGAGAGCCTTTGGAACTCTTCGCCACAGAGAGCTGTGGAGTCAGAGTCCTTTTGTATATTTAAGGCTGAGATAGACTCTCGATCAGAAGGGTTACAGGGAAAGGACAGGAAAGTAGACATGAGAAATATCGGGTCAGTTGTGATCCTATTGAATGTGGAGCAGGCTTGAGGGGCTGAAAGGCCTCACCAGCAGCATCTTGTACAGTTGCAGGAGGACTTCCCTGCTCTTATACTCCAACCACCTTGAAATGAAGGCCAACATTCCATTAGCCTTGCTGGTAGTCTACTCACCCTGTGTGCTAGCTTTCTGTGTGCACAGGAAGCTTGGGGATCTACAAGTCCCCATAAGTCCCTTTGTGTTTCAGCTTTATGCCAACTTTTCTCCATTTAAATAATATTCTGTTCCTATTTCTTATTGTCTTAAGAACTGTGTGTACCTGAGATGTGGGAGTATTCTGATAAGGAAAGGGTGAGAAAGCTGGCCTGTGTCCACTGGAGTTTAGGAGAATGATGGGTGATCCTGTTGAGACACACAAGATCCTGAAATGACTTGACAGAGTGGATGCTGAAATGTTTGGCTGAATCTCACCATATTTTGGCGAATTGAGTTTCACGGAAGGTTTCTCTTGGTGAGGCTGAGCAAGATTCCTTATGCAGTTGTCCCTGATGGCGCACTCTCGTCCAATGCAGGCCCTCTTGTCTCCCACTTGCTGTAGCTGCAGTCATCACAGGATATCTGGGGATTCCTGGTGCTGGCCTCATATCTAAAAGGCCGTTATGCACCCTGGCAAGTGTTGGCACACCACAGCAGCATTCCATGGTTCCAGCTTTTCATCCCAGGCATGGCTGAGAAGGACAAATTGGTAGCACACTTTGGGAGAACCCTGTGTTCAGGATTTGAGTGAAGATTTATAGCTAGGGTGCTGGTTGTAGATGTTGTGTTTGCCAAGCCGGGAGGTTTGATGGCAGATGTTTTGTCCCCTTACTAGGTGACATCCTCAGTGCTGTGGAGCCTCCTGTGATACGCTGTTGTCTTGTGCCGGTTCGAATTTATAGGGTCTGGTTTTTGCTGCTTCCGGTAGGTGCTGGTTCCGGCTATACGTTGAATTAGACCCGATGTACCGACCATTACAATGTGTTTGTTGATGGAGTCCGCAGATGAATGCCAAGCCTCCAAGAATTCCCAGGCTGACCTCTGTTTGGCTTGTCCTATTCAATTTTCAACTTGGCCAACACTACTATTATTGGACAAGTCACACAGAGGACAGCCAGGGAATTCTTGGAAGCTTGGCATTCATTCGCGGACTCCATCAACAAACACATTGTAATGGTCGGTACATCGGGTCTAATTCAATGTACAGCCGGAACCGGCACCTACCGGAAGCAGCAAAAACCCAAACCATGTAGATTCAAACCGGCACAAGACAACAGCGTTTAACAGGAGGCTCCACAGCACTGAGGGTGTCACCTAGTAAGGGGACAAAACATCTGCCATCAAACCTCCCAGCTTGGCAAACACACCAACATCTAGAACCCTGTGTATTTCAGTCTGAACAGGAAACACCGCGTACCTCAGTCTGAATGGGGAACACTGCGTACCTCAGTCTGAACAGGGAACCCCGCGTACCTCAGCCTGTACCGAGAACCCCGCGTACCTTAGTCTGAACAGGGAACAGAGCGTACCTCAGTGTGTACCGGGAACCCCGCGTACCTCAGTCTGTATCGGGAAACACCGCGTACCTCAGTCTGTACAGGGAACCTTGTGTACCGCAGTCTGAACAAGGAATTCCATGTTCCCCTAACTGAACCAGAAACCCTGTGTACCTCAGACTGTGCCAAGATCCTGTGTACTTCAGTCTGTTTCAGGAATGCTATTTACCCTGGTTTTTATGCCCATGGGATTTAAATTCTAACACCACCAACTGTCTGCCGTCTCCAATTTCACACCCCGCCCCCTCCTCTTTATATGTCAACACAAACAGTGAATGCTGGCTAACTGGTCTGTCAAGGGGGGCACTGAGATAGGCTTGTTGCATTCCTCTCATCACTCTGCTTTCCTGAACAAATTTCTGGACATTTTCAGGTTGAGATCTCTTTCCCTGAGCTGGGGGCTTGTGGCCATTTGTGAACTAGCTGTGAGCAAGAACTGCTTGACCAGATTGTCACCATCAACATTGAGATCAGATAATGAAACGAAGATAAGTCTGAAACTGAGGAGAAAAATAAATCAGCCAGACACCAGTCCCAGAGGAAAGGGAAGCCATTTTATTTGATTAGTGAGAATTAATGTCCTCTCTGATCAACGGATTGGTGCAGATGACATCAAGTTACATCACAGAAGATCCAATCAGATGCTCTACCATCAATGACATCATCAGACAGTACAGATAATAATCCAATCAGAAGATCAGCATCAAACGTCACTAAAGGACAGCCCATTAAAAGGCCTGCAGCCGCCTGGTAACAGTGAGAACCAACCAAGTGCAGAGCTCGGTGCTACTAGTCTATCCAATCGGGAAGGTAATGCCATATACCATTGTGGTGTGCGTGGGGATCTGTTAATTCTCTTGTTGCCCTATACTTGTCTTATTTTACAAAATATACATTTCAGGTTGCAAAAGGAAAGTGCAGTGCCATTACATAGGAGGGGACCTTCAATCCCAACCACACACATGGATGTGGTAATAATTCATATCCTCAATAAACTGCGGTGAGACAGACTTGCTGCGGATAACTATGGGTAATCTGGGTCCTTTTGGTCTGGGTGAAAGATTACGTACTGCCTTTTAGGGGATGCAATACCTTGGTTTCTGGGTTCTCAGGTTTTTTTTGAGATAGCGGGAACCACCTGCTCTGACATCACCCAGAGACATTTGCAAATAACAAGCAGTAGAGCTTGCCTTTGAATCAGGGCTTCAGTTCAGTACTGATGGAGTGTTTTGCAGTCTTTCAGATGAAATACAAAATCATGGCTCTCTTAGTTCAATCTGAAAGCTTCAACAGCACTTTTGGCAGAACACAGGAGTTCTACCTTGCATCCTGGCCTATGTTCAACTGACATCACTATACAGTTATATGTTAATTTACTTCATTGCTGTTTGGCTGTTGCATTTTCTTACATCCAATTGGGGACTACACTTCAAAAGTATCAGATAGAGTGTGAAGTGCTTCCTGAGGAGGTCATTAAGAAATGTATGTTGTGTCTTCATCCTGACAGAAGTGCAAGGGAAGGAAAAAATGATGGGCAGCACATAAACTGTTGTGATAGGGATGGATATCATTAAAGATGAACAATTTATGATATTTGTGGGGTGCAGCTGCCCCCCAGAGCAGTTGCTGCATCTGTCTCCATCGCAACAGTCCGGTATTTTTAATGTCACCTTTTGACAAAACACGATAAAGGTGCTGCATAAACAAAAGTATTGTTTATATTTCGGGAGTTGAGTGGGCCCCTTCACCTGGTGATCTGGGCACTTCGAAACATCAGAAACTTGATAAGAAAGATCCTTTTTCCAAATGGCATGATAACATGCCCATATATGATTACCTCACCAGTCTGATTTCCCAGGAAGAGTTGCTCAAACAGAAGCTGATTTGGTGATAATGGCTATAAAGTCAAGAACATGTTGGTGTGATGCTGGTTGAGTGATGGACGATGAACATGGTCTTCTTCAACTTGTGCCATGGGTTGTTTTACACTGTCATGTAACACACGTTAAGACCAACATTTAGTGCCTCACTTGAAAGATAGCACTCCCTTGGTGCTGCACTATAACATCAGCCTATAATATGTGATGAAGATCTGAAATGTCTAACCTATGCAAACTGCATTAATTAATGTTATAATCTTCAATAATGTGTGAGAGAGACACACAATGTAGAGGGATAGAAGAGAAACTTGATGCAAGTCTGTGCTTTCTAGGACTTTTAACAGAAACTGCTCTATCACTGAACTCAGGCAATCCACTTCATCAAGCTCCCAATTCATTCCTGAGTTGAAACAGGGTCCTGCGCAATAGCGGTAGTGTTCCTACCTTTGTGCCAGAAAATCTGAGTTCGAGTCCCACTTTCCTCAGGGATGTTCCTGAGCAAGAGGATTAAAAATAATTACAATGTCCGTACCCATGCTGGGCTTTCTTAGGAAGGAAATGAGGAGGTTGACTGACAGTAAAGCAGGACTCAAGACATTTTGAGGCAACATTCAAGTTAGCACTTTATCTCCCTTATGGAAAGGGCAAATAAAGAAACAATTGGGATTGAGACCCCTTCTGGGAGTCTAATGCTCAGTGGCCAAGCGCAGGCTGAAAGTGGTTGCAGGAACCAGGCAGGAGAACTTTCAAGGATTGTATGTTAGTTGTTAGTATGGTATACAAGCAGTATAATACGGGAGAGGAAAACACTCAGCTCTGTGGAAGTGCCGTGATTTCCCTGTCTAGTCAGGAATGAGAATGCATCTTATTTCACTCCTCAGTGATTCCATACAACTGGAATTCGCTCATGGACAATTCAGCACTGTAGGGTTGCACACACTGGCAGAATTGTTGTGGTCCAGGACCACTTGTGCTGCACATTGGATGCAAGCCCTTATAACAAATCGTTCCTCCAATCCAGTTTCATTTGAAAGCGGTTGCTGCTTTTTTGCCAAGACCTTGTGAAGGCCAAACACAAAAAACAGAACAACAAGGGACGTGTTGGACATTGTTTGCCAAATCTACTCATTCTTTTCTCCTTCTGCATGCACCTTCAAGTTGTACAGACCACTGTGGCATGGGGCTTATTTCAATAAATTCAATATATGTGAAAAGGAAGCCATAGAAGTAAAGTGTGTAAGGATGGAAGAGTCTTACCCCACTCAATAGCAGTGCTAGGGTTGGTTGAGCAGTACTGTTGTGAATATATCATTTGTTGTGAAGTATATGCTTATACTTCTAGAAGTTCCGGAGCAAAGATATATTTAAATCACTGAAGCAGCCAGGTCAGGTTGAAAGAGCACTGCATAAAGCATACAACATCCTAAGCCTTATTAATAGGGGCACAGGAAGACAAGAAAAGTAGTAATGCTGGACTTGTACAAGACCTTAATTTGACCTCGGCTGGAGTATTTAATCCAATTCTGGGTTCCACACTTTAAGGATGTGAAGGCAAAAAGATTCTGAAGAATAGTTCAAGGAATGAGGAACTTCCGATATGAAAAGTGATTGGAGCAGTTAGGACTATTCTGCTTGAAGAAAACTAGCAGAAAGGAGATTTGACTGCAGTGTTCAAATCATGAGAGGACAGCACAGAATAGGAGGATGAGAAACAGTTCCCACTTCTGGATGGAGTGAGAACGAGAGTTCACAGATTTAAAAGTAATCGATGAAAGAAGTAAAAGTGATATGTGGATGGGTAGTCAATGCTGGCCCACCCGGGGACAGCAGCCTCTTGTGAAGGAATTATAAATACGAGGAGCTTTCTCACACACGTCGAGTGGTTCAGGTCTGGAATGCTCTGCACAAGAATGCGGTGGAGATTGATTCAATTGAGGCTTTCAAAAGGGAATTAAACTAGGAAGAACATGCTGGGAGAATGGCACTTAAGTGAATTGTACTCTTGGGGAGCCAGCACGGACACAATGGGGCTGAATGGCCTCCTTCCATGCTGCAACAATTCTGTGATTGTGTAAAATGCACAGCATAGCAAAACCCTGAAAGACACAGAAGTGGAGGCCATTTGGCCCATCTTGAATGGGCCTTTACTTTGAGAAAGCTGTTAAATTATTCCTTACCGATTTCCCTGCTCTTCCTCAAGAGCCCTGCCATTTTCTCTTTTGTGTAGAGCCAATTCTCTATTTGAAAGTTACAACTGAATCTGTTTCCACTGGCCTTTCAAGCAGTGCATTCCAGCTGTGTGCAAAACCACGTCCTCATTTGCCTCCTGGTTCTTTCGCCAAGGAGAAAACCCAGTTCCTTCAACAAAAGGTGCCATCAATTTAATCTGTTCTTCAGGCAGGCTCCTACTGGCAATGAATACAGATAGTCCAGCTGCTCGCTGCTCTACACATTTCTGTTGGCTCAAAAACAAGACCCTACTCTGCTTGCCTTAGAGATGTTTGACTATGAATGAACAAGCATCATAAATGAGGGACCAGAATGAGATGTAAACATGAGCCAGCTAGTGGTTTCCAACCACAACACATAGTTTTGACCGAGAGGTGATTGGAACAGAATACTTCTCATTCTGTGATGACAGCATCAAGCATTCCCAGATTGGTATAGGAGAGAGAGGTTATAAGGTAGAATAGTCCTTACAGCAAATCCTAATTAAAGTCTTCTTACAGCTAGACTCTACTACAGCCTAGAATGAAGTCTGTTGCAGATGGAGTGAAACAGCCTAAATATCTTTTATTTAAAGAGAACATTAAAGAGGAGTCAGAAGATATTTTTGTTAAAAAGATGTTGCACATAAAGATAAGTGTGCATTGTAAAGCCTCACACTATCTTGTGGTTACACACAATGGCCTAGAGACCATTCCTACCATCTTCAGGGGTGACAATGCCCCCTGAAAACTCCTGAATAAAGTTCAGAGTCACACACACAGACTCTCAGTCATTCTGTCTTGTGGAATTGAAACTCAGACCGCACACCACAGGGCTCATCAATATTGAGACTGGTCAGCCGAACTTTTCCAAAATTGATTGGTGCTGTGTGAAAGAAAGAATTGCACCAATGGGGCACATGTTGTATTGAGCTATGTGTCTTGTTCATCAGCTCCTGTATCTCTCAGGTTGAAGTGGGGAAAACAATCCAGAGTGGAAACAGCCATGTTTAAAGAGCTGCTGGAGAAGACCCCATTAACTGCTGCCATAGCAGTTGGAGAGCAAGTACCGCATAATCATAGAATCAAAAAAGTGTGGAAACAGGCCTTTGGCCCATCATTAAAATACCATCCCCTTCCCCCCAAACAGCATCCCACCCATCCTGTAACCCTGCATTTCCCATGGCTAATTCATCTCGCCTGCACATCCCTCGACTCTATGGGCAATTTAGCATGGCCAATCCACCCGACCTGTTGGAGGTGGTTGCAGTGGTTCATTCCAGTGTTGGATTGGCCAGTCTATTAAGAACATAACCTCAATAGCCTGGAGAAAGTTATTTGGGGAGTCAAAAGTGCAAAGCTGCAGGGTGATGGTATGGCAGAATTAATGACAAGAATAAGAATATTAAATTGTTTCTGTTGTTCATGCCAGAACTTATCACCTTCCCAGGTACAAAGTGTTCCAGTTATTCTGAAGCGGCATGTTTTGATGGTGAGTTCGCTCTGAAGGCCCAAGGGATGAGATAACCAGCAAATAGGAAAAAAGCAACCTGCTCTCTGCTCGTGTGCCAGCTCTGGCATTCAGTTGGACAAAATAAAAATGAATTCCTGACACAGGAGAAACAAATCCCAGCTTTTTTTCCCCCCTCAGACTTTGACTCTGGACATAATAGAACGTGACTGGGAAGGATATCGCTGAGCATTGAGAGGTGGAGAAATGTAGAGAAGCAATTCTTTTTAAAACAAAAGCAAGTCTGTTTCACACGTAATACAAAACAAGACCAACAACAAGACTCTTTTTATATAACACAGAATATGAACAAACTTCTTAGAGAGGAAAAAAAAACCCATCTATTCACATTTCCAAAAGAATAAAATGTCCATGTCTAAAGGATATTTAAAAAAATAAATTAGAAATCAATGGAGTTTAATTAACACAGAGGTGAGATTACTGTTAACCTCCATGTATGTGGAGGGACATCACTCCATATAGTCACTACATCATTTACCATTTACAAGTTAGACATTTGCATTGTGATTAACATCAAGCTACTTAGCTACTAAGTGCAAAATCTTGGTGAGTGGAATCGACTAATCCTATCTCCTCTCGATTTGAAAACAGTCAACTGTTTGTTAGACGTAATTTACAGCATATTTTTGATCGCTATGAACACTATGTACGAGACTACAACAGGCAAGAGAAACTCCGAGGCAGCTTGCCTATGAGAAAGAATGCTTGCTTTGTGGAATACCATCCTTTGGTAGTTTCCCACCTCCCCCCCATACATATGGGAATGGTAATGTAATGGCTAATGGACATTGTAATGTTATATTGGAGGACGATCTACCAGATAGCCTGGATCAACAATACAGATGCACGTGAGCTCAAATTCCATTGTGACAGAGGTTGAATTTTTTTTTATATAGAAAAGAGACGGTTTCCATTAACTATATCATGAATTATTCTAAAAGTCCAGTTGGGTCACTGATGTCCATTAGAGAAGGAAACCTGCTGTTTTTAACCAGTTTGGCCTCTACGTAACTCCAGTCCTACACCCATCCGGTCAACTGCCTGAAGTGGCACAGCAAGCCACTTAGCCGTGTCAAGCTGTTTCTCAAGAGGTTGTGCTCCCACCACGTTGTTAGGGCAGATCATGTTGGGCAAGAAATTTTGGCCACACCAGAAATCCCTGATTTGGACAATGAATTAAAATAAATGTGTTTTTCTTCCCTTGAGAGCTCAAAACATCTCCTGTAAATCGCTTCATTAGACAGGCAGGACTCCGGTTGGTAAAAGCAATGACTAGCGTGGAACCCAGGCCTTCTGATCAAAACGATCCCCCCCCAGATACTCGCCAAGTCTGTGTGGTTTAGTTGATTTCATTTGGAGTGGTATTTGGAACCCTTGGCTGCTGTGTCCAAGGCTTCTTGTGAGAACATAATAAAAGTCTAGATTCAAAAAAAAGTGTTTTAGCTCAATCTGCCCAGTATCCTTGCTGTCCCACTGAATCCTACATCCCCTCACTTTCTTATTGAAGCTATGTTTAAAATTCAAACTTTTTAAAAAAAATTCTTCTGCATATTTATTAACTGACTTAGTGAACAAATACTTCCTGGTCTCCTTTTGAATTCTCTTACATTCAACTAAAGTCAAATTTATACTATCTGACCCTAAGTTTAAAATGGTGGTTTCCTTTACTCGAACTGTTTGATATTGCAACAATCTCAGCGAGGATCCTCCCCACCCCCTTTATCTTCTCTCTTTCTGGAGGATCGAATTCAAGTTTCTCCAAATTCAATGATTCCAGACTCCTCATCTTCTCTAATGAGTGTCAGTGGTTTGATGCCAAGGTGACTAGATTTGATCAGCTTTAATTGGATTGGTGAACACACCAAGGATAGCCCCAGATATTGGTTCTGTACAGTCTCTATTTTATATATATGTATATTGTCACACAATTTTACAGCACAGATGGAGATCTTTCATTGTGCTAGTTCTTTGAAAGATTCCAATTCCCTTCATCTACTCTTTTCACTTGGATCTGATTGTTTTCCCTTTTGATACAAGCCCAGATCAGTACACTTCTCAACGTTAAAACAAAATTATTTCCTCCTCCTCTCCCTTGGTTCTTTTGCTAATTGCCCAAACTATATCAAAAAGATTTAGCATTGTGAACACCCCTATTAAAAATAGCCCTTGAAGGAGATAAATGCCAGCTTCTCTTCCTTCCAGTCATTTTGTTAATTGCTGCACTAGAGATTTTAAATGAGATATCAGTGGAAATGATGTTGGGTGATTTTAACAATGGGCAGATTCAGACCCAGGTTACAAATCGTCAATGAGTCTCCAATCAGCAAGGTTTCCCTATTGCCAACTGAATTCAGGCAATTATGTATTTGCGTGCTCTATTACAAACCCATCAGTTTAGTTGCTCAGATTCTTTGGCGCCCTGCCTGACACTGGAATCTTTATGGGGACAGAAGTGCCATGTAAAGCATTAAAGATTACTGTTGTATAGGCCTGTCACCAGAAGCCACAGAACACATTAGTAATACAATCAGACAGGAAGCTGTACCATCAGTCCCTCCTCCATCCCCCCTCCTCCCTCTTTATCCTCCCACCCCTTCCTGATATCAGCTGCAGGGAGTTGTCTGGATTTGCACAAGGGAATGGTCAACTGGGTAAGGATCTGAAGCTCCTGGACCATGTAGGAGTCACCATCAAGGGAACTGTATCCCAGAAGGAACTAATACCTGCGGGACCCCATCTCAGTAAGAATCCACTCCAGTTGGACCATGCCCCAGCAGGAGTCATCAACTGTGAAGATGAATGGGGATAGGGGAAGAAAATATTAACCGCTGTCCCAGACCTTTACTGAGGTTTTGTTGTCAGGCAGAGACCCGAGCAGGTTTGATGATTTGTGTAGGTTTGTTTGAATGCTGGTGTCTGAGTACATGAACATTATGGGAACTTACATAATTTGCAGCAGCCCTAGCATTGTTGACAGATGTAAAATAAATGCCCTTGTCATGCATTCCCACCCTCTCCAGAAATGGGTTGCTGAATGATCTCTTAACTGCTACACATGCTCCCTTCCCCGCTCGCTTCTTCCATGGGCCTTTGCTTGTTTATACAAATGTTATGTGTCTTAACTTGTTCCATTTCTGACAAAACAGCAGCAACCTGGAACATTAACTTTGTTCCTCTTTTCACAGGTACTGCCGAAGCTGCTGACGTTTCACAGCACTTTCTGTTTTTAGCTCAGATCTCCAGCATCTGCAGTCCTTTGCCTGTCTGACTGATCCACGCATCCTGCTCTAATGCTTTATGCTTGAGGCTCCAAGGTCAATTTTGTGCTTATCAGTCTCAAAACAAGCTTGATTGAGAGTTGAAAATGTTGGCTTCTTTAGAACACAGCAGTCAGGTGGGAGTCAGGTCAGGCTGAATACTCTGCAACATTATCCATTCTGGAGTCCTGTGGCCCACTGTGATAAAAATTGGTGTCTCTCTCTTTCTCTTTACACACTTTCCTGCCTGTTGGATTCCCTGGGAATGTTTTTGTCAGCTCAGCATGGAGTTACAGAAACAGATTTGTACTACCATATTCCTTCCTGTTGACAAAATCCAATGCACTCAAGCCTGAAGTAACTTCAGAGACTTGCCGAAAGATCCACAAAATTGAGAATACTACCCCTCTTACTGTCTATAGGCTGATGGTTTGACCCATAACAGGACCTCCATCAAGAGAGACAATAGCTGAGTGTGCTGACCAATGCGAAAGCCATACATAGAAAGCAGAATGTTCTGCTGATGCCTGTCTCTACTGAGCTACTCTCAGGTGACCCTGGTGGAAACCCACATTTTGCACCACATGGCCTTAAAGACAGGTGTTACGTTCTACTTTTGTATATCCAAGTGCACGTTTCAGACACACAGGCCACACCAGCCTCACTTATTATCTTTCTACACCAATATGGCAGACACTGCACATGCTTCTTGTCACGATCAATGCTTGATCTTATTCCACCGTTGGCCCCGTGCGTAAACTCAGATTTGCAGCCTTTACGGTTCAGACAGATGAAGGCAGGGCCGACAAGAACGGGACAGGAAAGCATCAGCCAGGGTTCCACAGAGCCTATTGTAGGCGTTAATGTAGCTCCCCCCGGTTGATGCTGGAGGTTCAGCTGATTGCCTCGACTGGGGACTAGCTGTAGACTTTAGTGTCCCCTGCCAACCTACAGAGGAAGTCAAAGCAGGGAGGGCACCTCTGAAATGAATGGCGGTGACCCAGATCCATGAGCTGTCACGTAACAGAGTGTGGTCTGAGGGTGGGTGATAGTGAGCTGAACTTTAACTGGCACACGTGCAGAAATTGTTCCTGGTCATGAACTGTAGAGATGGGCATTCGCACAAGTATGCCACAGGATGCTGGGAGACAGCATGTAAACACGCAGTATGGGTTGCTGATCCTATGGGATTATTCTGGCATTTCCAGGATTAATCTTCAGGTCTGAGGAGATCCAGGAAGCAGAAATGTTAGTTGAATTATGAAAATAAATCGTTCATTCTCAACTGAGGTGGGAAGGTGGCATGGTTTCAGGGCCGGTATGCGAGGGAAGGGCTGTTAACAGCAGAAGGCCGTAAAATCAAATCTCCAGGAATATTTACAACTAGGGTGGCAATCCTTCATGCAATAGATTGCTCCTTAAATCTACTGGACAACTCCCAGAATGAAAGCGGGGGTCGTGAGGAAGAGCTCTGCGCTGCTGAGAGAGATCCCTGCCTGATTATCTCTCTTTTCTTTTTAAAGGCACTCCTCAAAACCTCTCTCTCTCTTTTTGAGCAAGTTTTTGCCAACATGTCCTAGCATTACTCTTCTGCGGTACAGTGTCAAATATTATCTGTTTACGTTACTGGTTAACATAGTAAAAACACCTCACAGTGTTTCAGATGACTGTAGTTGTTGGGGGTAGAAACAGCGAAATACTGAGTCAGTACTGTAACCTTGTTGGGGTACAAAGCGATTATCATTAGGAATCATGCTAATGGTGGGTGGTGGTGAAGGGGAAGGAGTGAGAAGCACCTCAGTGTTGGCTCACAGATGAAAAATCGAATGAAATATTTTTAAATCAGTCACTTCAGATGTGGTAAGACACATCTCCTGGCCTACAGGTAGGCATACTACCAGTACACTACAAGAAACCCCTCTGAAAAATCATAAGCTAAGAGAAAACAGTTTTCTCAAACAGCGTAAGATGCCTTTTACAAAATGACATTTCCACCCGCAGTTTACTAGTATACTCTTCAACTGGTAGCAGCTAACAACTAAGAAAAGGAAGTCGCCATTCAACCTCATTCAATCTATTCCATTAGATCACCACTGATTTGTATTTTAACTTCTGCAACTTGCCTTGATTCCGTAACACAAGCTGACAAAAATCTATCCGTCTCCATTTGAATATTATTTGCTCCCATCATCCAGAAACTTTTGTGAGGAAGGGAGTTCCAGATTTCCATTCGTCTTTGTGCGACAACTTGACTGTAAATCCGACAACATTCAAGAGCTCAATGCAATACAGGACAAATCTGTCTGCTTAACTGGCACCCCATCCACCAAGCTTGAACTTTCACTCCCTGCACACCGATGCTGAGTAGTAGCACTGTGTACCACCTACAGAATGCACAGCAGCAACTCACCAAGGCTTCTTCTCTTTACCTGGGAGGACAAGGGCAACAGATACATGGGAACACCACCATCTGAAAGTGCCCCTCTGTTATTCCTTCACTGTCATTGGGTCAAACCCTGGAATTCCCTCCCTAATGGCAGTGTGGGTCTATCTACAGCATGTGGTCTCAAGCAGGCAGCTCACTACCACCTTCGCCAAGGCAATTAGGGGCAGGCAATAAATTCTGGCCAAGCCAGCGATGCCCACATCCCGTGGCAGAATAATTTTTTTATAAATGCTTTCCAATTACTCTCTAAAAAGCTTGGCTTTAATTTGAATGTTTACAACATATCACTGTCACATCCTGTGCTACTGGAGCCAGATGTGGTCAGTGCAGTGGTCAACAAATCTCATAGACCTGGAATAATGGTGCCAAGGTACCCAAGTTCGGCAGTACTCTTGGCCTCAGTGTCCCTCAAGTAGCAGGTGGTGGTTAGGACATCATTAGCAGCACTACTCCCCATCCAGCCACACACACACACACACACACACACACTCAATGGAAAAACACATGCTGATTTCACAACAGTCTCCACAGTCAAATTGTCTATCCCAATTCACTCGCTGTCCAGGAAGAGAGTTGAACGAGATAGCGGAGGACCAGCATTCACTCCCAACATGGGTCAACTCTTGGGAACAAACTCCCACAAAAATGAAGAACACAGTGGCATAGCCATCCCAGCTTGAATAGAGAAACACAGACCAGAGGACACTCCTTTGTCCCACATTTGTAATGTGGAAAAAAATCAGTCACCAGCTAAAGATCACTTTCCATCCATGCACTTCAAAACTTGCCACCCTGTAGTCTTTACACATTTAGTGTGTACAGTGTTTGCAATGTAAATTTGTTGTTTCAATACTGAAGGGGGGGGGGGGGTGGTGTGTGTATTGAAGATACCCTGTTAACTTTCACCTTTGAGGGTACTTTTCCCACATTGGACACTTGCAATAGCTAGGGTTAGCCATATAGCAATTATCAATCCACATCCCATCCCCCAAAATAGCACACCCTCCCACTCCAGCATATACCGAACCAAATGAAACCAAGAACCGTAATGACAATGTGTATTTGTCAAGTGAGATGATGGGATTTCAAATGTCACGTAGTCCCTTTGCCTGTTTTAGTAACACTTTGTACATCGAAAACATTTTCTTACAAAAAGAATACTACATTGATTAATTCACAAAAGGTAGGATAAGTTAAACTACATATTTTAACCACAGACTCTGCCTAATTTCCATATTATTATGTTATGCTGCATTGAGTAACAACTGCGTTATTTATTAATTATTGAATTGTAATACTGTGCTACAATATTTATACTTCGTCTCCGCTCACTGAAGCAGCAGCAGGACCGAGGTTTTATTTGTCCTCCTCTATGTACATACACGTCGATCCCAGGTGCAGGAGGAGTTTGACCTGCAGCATGAAACCTGAACAGTCGGACGAGTGGGCTCCTGACAGAGCAAAAAAGGCCAAACTCCAGGCCTACGTGGCCAACCTTCTTCAGTCACGGCTCAACAGCGAGCCGAGACAATGCATCCTCCTTTTCTTTTTACTCCTTTTTCTCTGCTCTCCCCTTTTTCTTTTCCTCGTGTCTGCCCTTCACTCACATGAAGACAATCTCCTTGTATTGCTTGGTTGGCAGCTCGTCTGAGCTCACAGAAGGAAGGGTCGGTGTCCGAGGTAACCCTGAAATGGAGTCCTTTTCTTTATATTATATATCTATTTATACGTGGATACATTTTCCAGTGCTGACTTGTTGCTACGGGCAACCCCCGTATCACTAGGAGAAATAACGGCTGCATGTTTACTTCAAGTATATATATCTTTTTCTTTAACAAAAAAGGAAGGGAATAAAGCAGTTCTAATCTTGGAAGGCTTCCTTCCTGCATCCAGGTGGCGCTCCAGACTGGAGGTTAGGCCCGAGACCCTCCCAGCCAAGTAGGCCAAAGTGGCCTCCTCTGTCATGGGCGAGAGAGAGAGAGAGCAAGCGAGAAGCCAGGCTGGCTCAGGTCACATGGTGCCCGACTTGTCTGATGCGCCATTGGGAAACACCTTCTCAGTGGGGGTGAGGGCCGGGCTGCCCAGCCCAGAGCTGCTGCCGCTGCTGCTGGAGCGGTGCTGGATCACAGGCCTGGCGGGCCTCGTGGGCGGGGGCCGGAGCTGCGAGCCCGCCAGCCTGGCCGACAGGGCCGGCTTGAAGGTGGTCATCATCTCGCTGGACGAGCTGGAGCTGCGCCTCATGGCGGCGTCGGGGTCACGGATGACGATGGTGTGGAGCGGGCTGGCTGGCTCAGAGTTGACGGCACCTGACTGCGGGTTCTTCATCTGCTCCAGGGTGTCGAGCACCACGTCGGGGGCTTGCTTCACTGTGTTCTGCCTCTCCAGCTCGCGCAGCTCGTTGAGCGCGGTGCTCATGGTCTTCTCAATGTCCTGGGCCAGAAACAAAACTGAAAATTATTCTTCAGTAGCAGCGCCAAGAAAAAAAAACAAAGAAGAAAAATAAACGAAACATTCCCAAGTCCAGGAAAACGTTCGAAAAGAAAAAGCTCCTTTTTTTTCCCCCAAAAATAAATTTTATTGCAAATCTTTCGGTTACAAGAAGTTTATCGAGCAGTTACATTTATTGAGTACAGAATATACAGGACAAGGTACATGATAACATGCAATAACCAGTGTACCTTGTAGAGGCCTCCACCAGCAATGCCCCCACCACCACCACCACCACCACTACCCCCACCCCACCCCTGTGAGGCTGATTCTAGGGAGTGGTAACAGTGTTGGGATGTTTCAAGGGCTGCCAACCCTTCAGGAGTTTTTAAACAATGAAAGGTTAATGTCCTGGATGCTGCTAAGAACACTTCTAGGGGAGGGGAATCATGAAGCCATTTTATAGTGTTTCTTTTTTAAACAGTTTCTGTTATAAATGGGGAGAAAATGCTGTTTGATCAACAGTGAATGAACGATTCCTAAATCAGGTTACCTAGAATCTGTATCAACTTGGGAATCTATTCTACACTGTGCAGGTAGGAAGAGCACTCAGAATCTCAATGGGTTAAGCCCTTGAAGGTGGCTATGTGGAGACAAGGGGATAGTTGGAGGTGGATGCCTGGATGGATGGATGATGGAAGATTGAGGAACATGTCCAGTTGGGCGAGACGTGCTGTGACACTTTACCCACAGACTCAACAAACCTGGTGGGTTTTGGTTACAGTGCTGTGGCACAGTGACTGGTCAGACAAGAGTGAGAGCATGGACGCACCTCTCCTGTGGTTCTGAGGTAATGCTGGGAATTTTTTTTGGCCAGTGACAGCAGGGCAAACATGGCTTTGTGTCCTCTCTCCGGCTCACACTGTGCTGTTCTGGTTGGATTTTGGCTATAGTGCCTCAGCCCACACTAACCATTGGCTGGATCCCCTGCCAACACCAGTTAGCTGCCTTTGGAATGCAGGAGCATAATCATATTTGGGTCTTGGGAGGATCAGGAAGAAGAGTGCTGGGTCTCGTTCAACCTGCTGACAAGTTTCATTCCACATGTGCCAGTCCTTACACATGTTAACGTACTCTTCTTGGGTCAATTGTTTGCTTGGCCTGGCTGCGGCACATGTTGGGGTCTGGTCTGGCCTTGCTTTGTTGCAATAGGTTGGCAATGTCTGACAACCCTAAAGGATGCAATGGACTGCCCTCTCTTCCACAGCCTTTAGTTCGCGAAAGTGCATTACATTTTTGTACAGAACCCATGTCTAAAAGCCATCAGTTGTCTCTCAAAACTTCTCACTGCTCCCCTAAGCATCGTGTTCCATTCACGTGATGGTTGGTTCTGATCCCTTTTCATTCAGGAGAGCCTGTAATAGTAATATTGAGAATTTAAGGGGTGGCCAGAAGGCACTAATGTAATGTACCTAATGACTGATGAGTTAATACCCCATCTGATGTGTCACTTAATGTTAACTGAATCTGGCTCAATTTTAATTATTCAAGGTAGCATACCCACACGCTTTTGCATATAATCTGGTAAACAACTGTGGACATAAAGGTTGTTCGTTACCTTTCTGAATTGTGCAGATACCAATCAATATACAAGTAAAAATCCCCAATTAATACCAAACTGCCTTTGCTCCATAAAGCACTTGCTTAATTTCAGCACTTATACAATCTACTGCCGCACAGCTGCTACCAAGAGCTCCATGCACAATGATGGCTATTGTCTTAAAATCCTTTACCATTTCTTAATTTGATACATAAAGTTGTATCCATGTTGTCCCATCAAATACTGGTATAGAACCGGTTAGACAAAGAATAAAAGCTCTCTTCTACACAGTCCATGAAGTGATTTCAGAACAAATACAACAAAGGTTGAATACAGGTAAATGTTCCTCTACCTCACCCCATAAAACACTCCCAAGGAGACTTTTGCAAGCTTATGCAGAGTGAAGATTCCTTTACACTGCCTGTCAAATACTCCCAGGTCAACTATTGCAAGGTTAGGTGGAAAGTAAAGATCCTGGTTTTGTGCCCCATCAAGCACTCATGGGTCAGGTACAGAGTGGGTTAAATACAGATGAAAGTTCCTTCACCATTAAAAGATCCAGAATTGAACAGAACATGGATGCAGAGTAAATAACCCTCTGTACTGCATAATCCAACACATCAAGGTCAACAGCATGTTTAATACATTGTACAGTTCCCTCTAAAAATGTCCTATCAAACACTCAGGCGAGCTATGAAATGGGTTAGTTAAAGAGTAAAGCTCCAAGCTCCATTTGAATTATCCCATGAAATGCTTCCAGAGAAAGAACTGCCATGCTAGATAGAGTGAAGCTCCTTTTACACAGTCTCATTGGACAGGAACAGCATGGGCTGGATACAGAATACGGTTAGCTCTACATTGTGCCGCATCAAGTACTCCAATGTCAAGTAAGGCAAGGAAAAATAGAGGAAGGCTTTTTGTATCGATCCAGAGTATCTACTGTGCCATGGCTCTTTCTAACACCCACTAGCCCTGGATTCTCAGAGTGGGTTCACTATCCCGTGACGATCAGGGCAGCTTTGTGTGATAGGGCAATCCCAAATAAACGTCATGCGGGACCCCTATCGCCCGAGGATAGCCCTGGGATGTTTCTATGATCATTTGCCATTCCCTGCAGCCTCTCAGCTCAGCCACGGAGATCTCATTACCTCAGCCAGTGCTTCCGTCTCCAGGGCCTTGTGATCTCCGAGACTGCTGTGGCGGGTGGACGCTGACGTCTGCCTCATGAGTTGGCCATCCCCAAGGTTCTTCCGGTCTGGGTAATTGATGCTGCCGGCACTCCCAAAGGTGGCCAGGCGCCTCTTCTCCGGGCTCTCCATCCTGCCCCGGTTGACAGTGATCTTGTGGGGGCTGCTGGGACATGCTCCGGCCCGGGGAGGTGTGTCAATGCCCGGCCCTGACCCTCTGACTGGGCTGTGAGCATCCCCACCACTGCGACGTCGCTGAATTGCAGCGCCATCGGACCTCAACCGTACCCTGAAAGAAATAGAGGAATTGACATTCATTTGGCAACTTTGACAAATCCAGAACATCCTTCCACAGCTAAAATTGGAACGTTGGAAACACGGGCAGCCAATTCGTGAAAAGCAAACTCTCACAAACAGCAATTTGCTTACAGTAAAAGGTGTTCATGGAGGGATAAATACTTTTCCAGGACAGCACAAGAGCTCCTCTGTCACCTGCTTCAAAAGAAAGATCTTTTACATTCCCTTGAGAATGTAAAACACAGCCCCGGTTCTAAAACCTCACCAGAAAGGTAGTGACAGTACAGCACACCCTCGGCACTGCACAGGAGAATCAGTCTAGATTCTGTGGTCTGGTATCTGGGATAGAGCTTGAACCCACAACCTTCTCACTCAGAGTTATCCTCTGAGGCACTGCTAATACTGGATTGACTCAAGATCCTGGGATGAAGGGATTAGTCAGTCACTGTCTATCGATGCCATATACTCGATGCAGCAACAGCCTCTGATAGTATAAAAGTCTCATTTATTGGAGCACAGTTACTTTCCCTGCTGCAATTAGTGCCTCACCCAAAAGACTATTATTCATGTGCCAATCGGCAATGAGTGCTGGCCAGCTATTTAATTCTGTATGAGGCATTGTGGATTAGCCTGATCCTATTGGTACACAATATCACTGAATCAGGAGACTTGGGTGGTTTTCATACAATGGCCAAGAGGCACAGAGGCCATCTTTGGTGCTTTACTGTCACCCTAAGGATCCAAGCTTGCTTCATTGAGCTTTTACTAACACACAGAGAATGTGCTTATTCACTGTGGCATTAGTGGGAACCACAACCACACATTTATCATTGTTCTTCACATTTGGACAGGTGCATGAAGAGGAAAGGTTTAGAAGGAATATAGGCAAAACACAGGCAAGTGTGGCTAGTTTATTTTGGGAAACTTGGTCAACGTGTACGAGTTGGAGCGAAGGGTCGGTCTCCATGCTGTATGGCTCTATGACAAACGTCACGTTGAGAATGTTGAGTTCCACTGCCTCTCCACACTACTCCGTTAATTGTCCCCTCTTTCTATCAGGCAGACCACATTTAAAACCATTTATTGAACACAGACAACTATTCTACCCAAGGAAAGGAAGCCCATACCTGCCCAGGATCCCACCAAAGGAAAACTCTGGCAAGTGGTCAGACGGGGACTGGAGGTCATTCTTCGAAGAGGCCTTGTCATCCAGAAGTGGGCCACTGCTGGCCTCACTGTCCGCCTTCTGGCTCAAGCTGTCCGAGAAGGCATCATCCCTGAAGACAGAAGGCAAAGGTCATTTACTGCTTGACTTGAAGCAAAAAATAATACACACAATTATACAGTGTCTTCCATGACATCTCAAAGCCCTTGACAGGGAAGAGTGTATTCCTTAGCTCAAGCGCTGTTGTCGCAAATTTTCTCACAGCAAATTCCCAAAAACAGCAAAATGACAATGAATTTGTTTTGGGATCTTTGATGGGGACAAAGGGAGCCTCAGTTTAAATGTCTTATCTGAAAGATGACACCTCCAATAGTTGCTGCACTCCTTCAGTACTTCACTGAGATTCAACCTAGATTTTGGTGCTTAGGGCTCTGGTGTGGTCTTCAAATCCAATGTTCTGACTTCGAGGTGAGAGTACTACCCATTGAGCCAGAGCTTGCTCACATGCTGATGATTATATAATAATGGCCACTTACTACTTTACTTGAAGGGCTGGGCAGCCATACAGCTATGTGACATCATTTAAGATTAATCACGGAGAAGTGTAGAATGCAACAAAGAACAGGTTAAGAAGGGACAGGGAAGATCCAATATCAAAATGCAACTGGGGGATTCATCACCTCTTCGTGCAGTATACTTGAGGTATTATGACATGTTTTGGACCACACAGGCACCATACGTTACTTCAGTTACTTGACACCACAACATGTAATGTCCTGATATGAAGGTATCAGCATCACCTTCAGTCAGTGTCTGTGTAATGGACAGTGTAGTCAGTTATGAAATGTACAGTAACATCAAGTACAGGATACTGACTGTTTGTATAGTTACATAAATATTATTGCAAATGAAGCTCATGATATCTGTCTTAAAAATAACTTGAGTCTCTGTAGTATTTGCTAAGAAGGTTAGAATGGATAGCAAAATATAATGGCATTCTGCTGGGAGTAGCTGGACACTATAAGCTAGTTGTGACAGTCATTCAAGTGTCTGTAAGTGAGCATTAAAAGATAATTATGACAGCTAATTATTGGTAGCTATCGTCAGTCGTCTCTCACTAATATGTACAATTGACCACCTAGGACATTCTGGGTCACTGGTCATGGGTTTTTGGTAGCAAGTAGCTGCTACAGGCTGAAAAGATGACATTTTCCTCACAATCATCCATCAATCTGTCGGATTTAGAGCTGAAGTTACAACTACAACCAAAACTAAAGGCACAAACCTGTACTGAAGCAGTGAGTTCTCTATCTTACTCGCTAAGAAAACAGAACACGAGAGATTGTCGCTGATTCAATGTGCAAATATAAATACCATCTTAAGCGGTCCTGAAAGGCCAACACAGAAGCACCCCTAGAAGAAAATGCAGCTTAAAAACACAAAAAAAAGGTTTTCTACATTAAAAAGGCTTACCAGTGTACAGACACCAGTTGAAAATCGCATGGAAATAAAAAAAGCCCTCTTAACCTCCTCGCTTTTTATGGTGTGAATGCCACCTACAGACACAAACTTGCTACTACAAGCCTGCACCTCTAAAATGGGCAACATACAATATAAAACAAAGTAGAGAAGCCAACAAAAATAGAGAAAAGCATGACACTGCAATACAGATTCTTACACTGTCATTGTAAAGAGCAAAAAGATGAAAATTAAACACACAACCGTGGATTGAATTGAATGATTTACTGTCGCTTGTATTTAACAAATAAATAATGAAAAGTGTAATATGTTGTCGTACTTTGGCGCCAATTTTACTTACAGAAGATATTAAGATACGAGACTGAAATTAAGATAGAAGACTTCAATGTAAGCTAAAACAGAGTTCATCTTCTTCCCTTCTTCTGCTCTGCTCAAGATTGTGGGGGGTGGGGGGTCTCCACAACAGGCTCCAGGCCCACCAACACCCCCACATCACAGTCCATTCCAGGAGCACCAGTTCGGACTGACTGCATGGCCGCAGCTTGAAGCCCAACATTTCCGATTCTGACACCGACCGCAGATGCTGCCTTCTCTGCCGTTGCTGTGGTGCCCATTCTGCCATTGATTTGCCCCCAACAGCGCCAGACCTAACCAATGTCGAAGTCGCCTATTCTCAGGCGCCATCTTTTGGCGCTGGGCTTACCTCGCCGATGTCACCTCTGCTGGTACTGATGCCAAGTTCCGTGCTCAGCCCTCCATCAACTCCTCTGCTGCCACGTTGCTGCAAACTTTTACCACGAGTCTGCGCTGGGCCCAGTCACCAACACTGTTGCTGTCGCCGTGACTGAGCTCTTCACAGGGTGTAAGTACAAGAAGAAAAAAGTAAGAAAAGAGAACAAAGAAAGGAAACAAAAAGTGCACAAGCGGACGAGCCCTGGGCTCAGGAGCCCTACTCTGCTGCCATCTTACCAGAACCAGATTGGCATTCCAGTAACATTCTGTCAGAACTTTAGCTATTTAAAGAAAGCATCAATCTTCATGGCTCAGTAGATATCTGACAAAGAAGAACAGGTAGTTAAAAGTCTTCTCACTTTGGGCACCAAAGGGTGAGAAGAATAAAATCCTCCAATATTTCTGAAGATAACCTGGAAAGATCCCGACAAAAGTTTTTGTATTTTAGCTGATCAACTTAAAGTTTGAGTTAAATGCAGAATATCTAGCTTTGAGTTCACATCATATGCCAACAGCCAGGTGAAACGATCGAGTAATATGCGGGAAGGTATCGATGCAATGGCATGGAATGTAATTTCACCAAAGCTGATTTAGCTGAACTCTTATGGAACTGATCACTCAATTCAGACCTAACAAATCTTTACAAGAAACCAACAGAATAGGCCATTGACATGCCACTAGAATAAGGATGCAAGTTCAAAGCAATTGTAGCAAGACATGAGCACCCACAAGTGCTTGACTCTGGAACAAGTACTGCAGCCATCAACAGGTTCAGTGGAACATATTATATGATGTGTGGCTTGTCTCACCACCAAGACAGTGTGGTATATGCAAGCTATACTTCACAAGAGGATGTTGGGCTAAAATGTGTAGGTAATCCAATCATGCAGAGAAACCCAAAGTGCAACACAGTGCTCCACAGGAGCATGTGAAGACAAACCCAATAAGGAACAATGTCAAAGAAGTTTCCAAAGTTTCATTCATGTCATAAAAGAATGTCATCAAAGTCCAAGAGGTAACCACAGTGTTACAGCTTTACAGACCTCAGTCAGACAATAGCCATGCCACATGGACACTGTCAGACAAACTGAAACCTTTCCCTCCAACTGATTGATATTTGCCAAAAGGAATGGACAATATGCACTAAATGTCAAGATCTACACTGGTGCAAGTGCAAATATCATCCCTTACGAGATGTTTTCAGGAAACTGGCACAAAGTGGTGCAGTCCACACAAAATAAGCTAAATGCTTAGAATGGGGCTGACATGCCCTGCATTGGCATTTTCCATCTTGAATGCCAACATGGATCCTTGTTTTGCACCTGACATCTCTCTATTATCAGACAATCAGCATACATGGAGCTATATATCGTTACTATCTATGGTAACAAACCTGTCAGTTGCAACACCAAAAGATTTCAGACTGCAACATCGATTTCATACATTTTACTCACAGCTGAACTGAGCAGCTTTAGCAAGCCAAGCCTGATGTTCAACTGCAATAGCTCAAACAGCAGGGGGCCTGAACACATCCAACAGGTCCCTGAGCTTGGACATCGATTCTCGTCTGAGGTGAACTAGGACTGTGGTAGAATATAATCTTCAAAGGGAAGCAAGTGTTACGCCATAAGCTAGAACACATATAGAGGTCACAGGAATGCTTAAAAAACCCAATAGATTGCCACATGAATCCATCTATTGGTCTGACATTAATCAGGGTATTGACCAACTACTTAACTCATATGGAACATGCCAATTCCACCACCCTCAACCCTCAAGAGAGGCTGCATGTGATTCCTTCTGAGCTGTGGGGTGTGACTGCGAATAGCATTTTCCATGCCCAACGACACAGCTTATATTCTGGTGACTGACTATTTCACCAAATCTGGTTTGTGCATCAAACCAAAATATCACTGGTGTAACACTGACATAAACCCACTGATAGTAATTGAAGCAAACAATATTGACATGATAAAGCAGCCAGGCTAAACCTGTGAGCAAAAGGAGATGTCAATGGGGTGGATGTAGAGCAGTGCAAGAAGGTTCAAGTGGAGCAGAAACACGATCATAGATAGATAAGGGGGGGAGGCTGCTTCTTTACTGTAGACTGTAACTTACAATTATTGTACACTGTCCTGTAAAACATTCTGACGGTAGGTAATGAGAGGATTAGTTAGAGTAAAGCAACATCTATTTTGCCTCAACAGTGTTTCTCATCCTTAAGAGTGTCCAGCTCCTGTTCCATTGTGTTAGATTCCATTTCCTACATCAACCATCCCGTGGCCTCCCTCGATGGTGTTTGTCAAGTTGTGCCAAAACATTAGCAATGGGATGCCTAGTCGAGCTCACTTGACCAAGGACCCTTGTCGCTAGGCAAGCTACCTGGGCTGGATTTAGCCCCAGGTGTCAGAGACAAAAGGCGAGGGATAGAGCTTCAAATGAATTCTCATTCTTAACTTTGACCTATTCGGCCACATCTCCAGTACTGCCACCAACGGGAAGTCCCACCCCATGTGATGAAGCCAGCACTTAATAAGGAGTTTTGAAAACAATATATTAATTTAGGGGGTGAGGAATTAATGCAGTTGTAAAAGCGTGGGATCGGGTCTGTTGAAAGCAAGGCCACCCCACCCCCCCAACTTTTTAATGTTACAAGCCAGGCTCAACCAATCTGTGTGCATTTAGAGGCAAGTGTAAGCCCCCCCATGCAGACACACACTCACATGTCCTGTACCACGATGTACTGATGGGGTATCAGACCATCCAATCCATTGTGTCGTCCTTCCCACCAATCCTCGGATGCCCGGTGGTACAGCAGTAGTGATGCCCCTTTCTTAAATGACAACTCTCGGGGTGAGCGGCCGACATAGTCAAACTTAGCAATGGCTTCGATCTGCTCCATCTCTGTAAAAAGGGGAGAGACCCCGCAGCACAGGGAGTTAGTGACTACAATTGTGCAGCAAGAGACGGATACATATCCTGTATTTTCCTTCAATGGGGGTGGTGAGGTGATGGGGACATGTTTAGATGGTCTCCCTTCGTGTGAGAGGTTTGCAGTTTCTATATTGTCTGTTCTTCATGAAATCCTACAGCACAAAGGAAGACCATTCAGCCTGGGAAAACTGTCCAATTCATCCCCTGTTCTTCCTCAGTAACATTGCAAATATTTCCTTACTTTTATCCAATTCCCTTTTGACCATCAGAACTGAATCTGCATCCATCACTGTTCTCAGGCAGTGCATTCCAGGTTGCAACCCACTGTATTTAAAACAAAACTCATTTCCTCTTTGCTCCTGTATTTGATCAACCAGAAATCTGCATTCTCTCTCTTCTGGAGATGCCATGGTTTGTTATTAGTTTCAGACAGATCGGTGTTCACAAGATCCTTTAAACGTTGGATCGTAAGTGCATCAGAGATTATGAGGCCAATTCACTGCCCTGTTTATGATAATGCAGTGGCAACCACAGCTCAGTTGTTAGCACTTTTTTTCTCTGGGTCAGGAGGTTGTGGGTTCATGTCCCACTCTTAGACTAAATTAGGGCTGGCACTCCAGTGCAGTACGCAGGGGAGTGCTATGTTGTTACAGGTGCTGCATTTCAGATGATAGATCAAACCAAGGCCCTGTTGCTCCCTTGTGGCATTATTTGGAAGAAGCATGGAGGAGAGGGAGGGGCTATCCCTGGTGTTGTGGCCAATACTTATCCCTCTACCAGCATCACCAAAACAGGCTATTGTGACAATGAACATAATTTATCAAAGCTTTTCGTCTTGCACTCATTGGGTCAATCCACACAAGTGTTGGGAGAATGCCTTGTCTAGTCAATCTACCTGGTTTAGAGTTTAAACAAAGCCTGGCAGTTAACTGTCAGTCATCCCCAACTGGTGTATTCTCCATAGGAATGCCTCCAACAAACAGAGTCCACTTATCAACCAACTAGCACTGACCTCTCATATGGTACAAAGGTTGGTTTATCCCCTTGAATTGGTGTTCTTGTGAATTGTACTGATGAGTACTAGACAAAAGCTTCACCACAATGTGGCTTTTTTGCAGTAATGCTCCGGTTCTGTGTTAAAATGACTAAAATGGACCATCTGGTCATGATCATATTTCTATATGTGGGATCCTGCTGTGCATGTGTATTTAAATTTACTTAATAAAAATTTGGAACTGAAAATTGTTCTCTGTGATGGTGACATTGAAACTGTGATGATTGTTCTAAAAACCCATCTGGTTCACTAATGGCTTTTAAGTAAGAAAATCTGCCATCCTTACATAATCTAGCACCTACGTCACATGAAAGAATAGAACAAAACTATTAATTAAAGTTAACTTCAAACAGCTGCTATGGTGTGATTTGATCCTACATCCCCAAATCATCTGGACTACTAGCCTCATAATATTATATAACCATCTCTCACTGGACGAATGGGAGGGTGGGGGGTGACCTTATTGGAATATTTTAGATTCTGAGGGGGCCTGACAGGGTAGATGTTTAGTGAAAACATCATGAACTACATGGCTCAATTATAGAATGAAGGAACACTCACTTCAACCTGAAATGCAAAGGAATTTCTTTACCCGGAATTGTCTACCTCCGGAGTGCTACGGAGGTTAGATCACCAAAAGTATTTAAAGAGGAGCAAGGTAAATTTTTTGAAATTTTGAGGAATTGAGGGCTCTGAGGATCTGGTATAAAAGAGAAGTTGAGACCTGGGACAGATCAGCTATGATCTTACAGAATGTCAAGGCTTGAAGGCCTGAATGGTCTTTTTCTTTTGGTCTTGTGGTTGAATGTCAGAACTATTTAAGGTCTCCAGTCCTTATCACCATTCAGTAAACCCACATGAAACATACGTGTTGTGTATATATCAGGACTGCCACTACCCACTGAACCACAGAAGAGCTGAGGGCAATGTCAGCTTCTATCTTGTTAAACTGTGGAACAGGTAGAAGGGGACCAGCAGTTTATTTCTATTCCCTATATTTATGAAACAAAGTCTAAACAATCAAAATAATATCACCAAGTGCTACAGGTCAAAATCCCCTTAAAAACATTTTGATGCATACATTCATTGTAAGGAACAAAGCCCCGGAGACCCCTGCAGATAAAATTTCAGAACACCGAAGGGCGTAGTGAGGTGGAACTCTCACTAGAGGGAACCACATGCCAGCCGTGTCATTATCTCGTATTTCACAATCTCAGGACCTCACACTGTGCTTTACTGCCAATGCAGTATTTCTAAAGCATAGTTACTGTTGTAATGTAGGAATGGCAGCAACCAATTTACGTGCACAAGCTCCCACGAACTGCAAGGTGAGAAAGACTCGCCAATCTGTTTCAGTGACATCAGTCGAGAGATAAATATTGGCTAAGATATTCAGGAGACCCCCGTTCTTCAGAGAAATGGCACAGGATCTCTGATCTTCTCCCAATTTAGGAAGTGGGCTTAGGTTTAACACTACATCAGACACATTAAACGCATTGGAGGGAGCGCGACTGTGTGCAGAGCAGGGTTTTCAACAATCCACAGTTAGAATCTCTAGTCCTTTCAGGGCAAATTGTGAAAATGTTTCCTACATGATGTTGTGTACTCTATAAATCTGGTACCACCTGCTGAACTGACATCAGAAAATCAATGTAAAATCTATTGGTATCCAACAGATTCAATAACATTGAGGTCTGTGGTCATCCACTTTGGTACGAAGAAAGGCAAAGTTGGTCTGTTTTCTTAAATCGAGTCGATCAGGGTTGGAGGAGCTGTGCAGAGATCAAGATATCCCTGCACACAAATCACTAAAAGAGACGGGAATAAGAAATAGCCAGGAAGGATCCTGGAATGTTGGTCTTTATCTCCAGGGAAGTAAAATACAGAAGGGAGGAAGTGACCATTCAGTCAAGTGCTTTGATCTGACCCCATATGGAGTACTGTTTTTAGCTTTTGACATCATACATCCAAACTGATGCATTAGTCTTTGAGAAGATGCAGAGCAGATTAGTCAGAATAATACCAGGAAGTAAAGGGTTAAATGACGATGGTAGGTTGTATAAACTTGACTCGCATCCTATTATCTAATCGCTGTGATCAGTTCAGCAAAAGGAATGATAAAGGCAGATGGTGCAAGAATTGGGAACATAATAAAAGGGACCCAATAAAATTGGAGTCAAGCTATTTAGGATTCAAACCGGGAAGTAATTTTCTAACTCACAGGGCAGTGGAAACTTGGAACTTTCTCTTCCTAAAGGCTTAACACCAAAGGTTCATGACTTAAAGTTGATAGATTCATTACGGAAGGAATAAAGGTGGGATCTAAAGGGATTTGGAGTGCAGTTCAGTGTGGATATTATGGATCTGACGGGCTGAATAGACAGCTGGGAATGAAATCTGGCCAATCATACTCCCTGTGCCAGAGTCTCAACGCTCTCAGGGCATTTAAAGATTATTATAAACATGTCTAGCATTATCCATGAAGTAGTAAATAGAAAGACTGAAATGTGACTGAAAGACGAGAGTCTAACCATATTTAATTCTCTCTCTGGTGACTGTCGACCATGACTGCATGTGGGAGAACAGTTGGGCATTAAATGTTAGTGGAGTAGAAATTTGACTAAATGCCCAAGTCAAATTACTGGAGTTGCTTCGGTTACCCAGCCTGGCAGTTCTGAGAGAAGAGAAACGGAGACTACTTTTGCCTCTAACCTGATCTGCATTGCCAGTCCTGACTGTTGGAAACAGAATGGCCATGTTGCTACTCACCATCATCGCTGGTGTGTGGTTCAGTGCCATTGTCATGGTCCACTTCATCAATGGTACCAGGCTCACTGTGAGGACTGTCACTGCAACACAGCAATAAGAACATTAGCTGAGCCGTCACTGCACAATCGAGAGCTGCTGACTAATGTTTGACCGACGGCCTTGGATAAGGTACTTCAGACCCACTCCAGAGAATGGTTTCCAATTCTCCTGGAGTTTGTCGGAATTAAAGACTCATCTCCGTGACAATGTTGCGAGTGTCACTCAGGAGAGAAAAGTCATGGCAGCGTCTGAAAACAATCAGAGATCAGTCTGACTGACCACTGACCAATCAAGAAATGAAGAGTCGTCTCAACGAAAGCAAGGTGATGGTGTGCTGTAGGATAGATATGTCAGGTGACCAGTGGTGGAAATGTGGAAGTGGAGCCTTCTGCATTAATTCCAGGCTAAACACCGTCCTGCTGAATGACCAGACTGTACCTGTACACCGAGCTTCTGATTTTACTCACTATCCTGTGTGCCTTTCATAAATCATTCATAGAACAGGTGGTGGCCATTTGGTCCGGGAAATCTCTTTTGGCTCTCTACAGTACAATCCAGTCATTTCCATTCTCCCGCTCTGTCTCCGTAGTCCTGCAAGCCCACCTTTTTCACATGCCGATCCAGGTTCCTGTCAAAATCCTTGATAGCCTCCACTTCCACCACCCACAGAGGCAGCCAGTTCCAGGTCATTACCACTCATGTTAAAAACAGTTCTTCTTCATTCCTAGTGCATCCCTTAAACTGGAGTCCCCTAGTCCCTGTACCATCAGTTTCCTTCTCTTAACCTGTCATAATCTTATACACCTCTATCAAATCGCCTCTTAGTCACACTTCACTCCAAGAACAATCCCAGTCTCTCCTATTTAACCTTGTAACTAAGAACCTTGGCTAGAACCATTCTGGTGAATCGCCTTTCAATCCTCTCAAGGACCCTCACACTCTTCCTAATATGTTATTACCAAATGCAATTCTCTAATCATGGCCCAAGTAGGACTTCATAAAGTTCAGCATTAGCTTATCTGCTTTTGTATTCAATACCTCTACTTCTGAAGCTTCAGATCCCTTATGCCTTACTAATTAATCTCTCAGCATGTACTGCTATTCCCATCGGACAATGTACATTAACTCCTAGATCCCTCTGTTCCTATGCATTTGTTTGAATGTTATAATTAAATCTAAATTGTCTCTCTCTATCCTTTCTGCGTCACCTCACACTTCTCTGTATTAGATCCCACCCGTGACTGAAAATGTCCAATCTGCCAGCCCATCCAGTTCCAAGCAATTATAGCCGGGAGGGCAATACTACAGTGTGGGCAGTCACCACACCCAAACACTCGGAGACAGAGCAGAATATCACAAGCCTAATGCCACAAATCCTCCATTCAGTTTCAACTTAGCTGCTTCCATCTGGGCCAACATTTGGATGCAACAGTTGGCGTATGGACTTGGGACTGGCAGAATGCCCTGGCACGGTTAACAGGTGCCCCAGTTGACATTGCATGTTGAGTAAAGGTTGGACCAGGACCTGTTGTGTTGCCCCCATAGGTTAGTGGGTGCACAGTGAGGGGTTGGTGCAGAGCAGGCAAGGGTGGGGGTGGGGGTGGGGGTGGGGGTGGGGGTGGGGGTCAGCACTGTACTAGAACTTTATTGTGCATTGTTATCATGGTGTGTTGTTATTAACAATCATTCCCTACCAGTATTCCTCCCCTCCGGTCATACACTTCTCGTACACCGGTCCTTCCAGCTCCTTGTGGCTTGGGAAGATCCCCTCATGGTTCACAATGATACTTTTGATGACCTCGTTGACGTGTGCCTGGCAGGAGACAGGGTCTTGACCGTCAGGGATTGGCATCAAGGTGGGGCCAAAGCAGATGGCCAGGTTATAGGGGTCCATCATATTCTCATCACTGTACTGGGACAGACTGAAACACACAGACAGGGCCAAGTCATCAGCTTCATTTCCGACTGTAACCTGACTGTGTCCGTCAGGGGTAGACTGTGTCTCTGCCCCCTTCTGCTTCACTCGAGAAACCTCACCGCGCCCTTTACCCCAGACACCCCCCCCCAACCCTCACCGCGCCCTTTACCCCAGACACACCCCCCCAA